ATATTGATTTAATAGTTAGTATACTATTTTATCATGACCAGTTAAAGATCATGTTCGGATTTTGTTCCGGTCTGATGATTTTGTTCAGAGTTATGGTCCTTGGACTCAAATAATCAGTTTTCCACACTTTTTTCGTCATGCTTGAAGATATATCTGTTATTTTTTTTATCATGTTTTTAGTTATAGATCACGATTTAAGCAGTAGGGGACTATGTATTGCCATGCAATACACTCAGAAGCTTGTTAAATTTCTTCTCATCTAAAGCAACAAGGTTAATATTTAATACTGTATAGAATTGATGATTTGAAGACCCTTTTCGAAACATCCTCATTTTTTGTAAGGATCAGGTAGCATTTCAACCTATATGAGATAAAACTGACTTCATCTTCTCTGAAACAACTGGACAAAACTGAACCAAATTTTGCTGGGATAATGTTTTGAAAGGGTTCCATGAAACTTCATCATTTTATTCTGGTCAGCTTAAAAGACGGCCGCCAGTGGTAATTCTTTATTCTGATGGGTTCAGTTTTCAAATTTGTTCTGTGAAACTATTACGCCAAATATGATCAAACTTTATAAGACATGATTGGAAGGTCCTCTTAAAAAATGTAATTTCGTGCTGATAGGATGGCATACCTAATTGCTACTGTGGAAATCACATTTTCATCATCCCCTGAAACCAGATGGCTAATATTAACCAAACATTGCAGAAATTATGTATGGAATATAATTTATATTTATTTCTTATTCCTTTCTGAATGGATTAAAAGATGGTCTGCCAGAGATAACTCTCACACAGTGAAGTCAATATAATGGAATTTAAGTGACTGTCATAAAACAGAAGTTTAGCTAGCTATAAAACCAGGTTCAACCCACCATTTTCTACATCAGAAAATGCCTTTACCAAGTCAGGAATATGACAGTTGTTATCCATCCGTTTGATGTGTTTGAGCTTTTGATTTTGCCAAGGGATCGACTTTCCGTTTTGAATTTTCCTCGGAGTTCTGTATTTTTGTTATTTTATTTTTTTGGTATGTGATGACTTTACTTGTAAATTTCTTCTCTGAAAATACAATAACAAATCTTTTAAACTTTATAGGAATTGTTATCTAGTAAAAAACTACGAAATTGCAACATTTTATGAAGATTGGGTTGCTACGGAGGTTAATTATGCTGATGTCAAGAGGAACTATTTAGGCTCATTAGAGTCTCTAGTTTTTGGACAATTTTCATCAATGAAACATTTTGAACGTAACTCCTCTGAGATATTAGGAGGTTTACTCCCCGAGGGTATCACCAGCCTACACTACAAAAGTCTAAAAGTCTGAAAAGACCAGTTTTTGTCTTAATGTGCATGAACTTTTACTCGACATTCTCCAAAAGTATGACTTGTGTCTTAATTTTTCTTGACAAATTCTCATTTATATTAAATTTGTATGAAATTTACTCGACATATTCTCGACATTCTGAATATGGTCTTAAAATTTCTTGACAAATTCTTGACATTTGAATACTGTCTTGAAATTTCTCGACATATTCTCGACATTCTTATTTTTTCTCAGTATGGCTTGACATATTCTAAACATTTTGAATCGTGTCTTAAATTTACTTGACAGTTCTGAGTTTTCCAAATCATGACCAATATTCATGATATAACTTTAATCTTTATTTCTCTTTATATGATATACTGTTGTTTCAAGTTACACTTCTTTACAACAAAAATAAAAGTTGGGCATGTAAAATAATTGAAAATTTGGGTATATAAATATTTTTACAAATGCAAATATGGCTATGAAATCTAAAGTATAAAATAATTCAAATGTGGGTGTGTTGATATAAAACAATTTCAATGTGGGTTTTTTAAATAATTACAAATTTTGATTCCTAAATCTTATAAATTAAATGATTCAAACCAATCATACTGTAGACATATTTCATACTACATTCATAATATTCAATGTTGATATGGTAAATAATTATTATACCAAAATGTGGTTTATATAAATAGCAAATTATGATGATATACAAATCATTCATTTAACAGAAGAAAAATTTGTGTAATGTCATCTGTTGGAATATATTAAGTATTACACATGGACAGGATGTTCCCCATAAAATTAAGGTATTCCACACCCCAGAGTACACGCAACTGTCAAATAGAAGTTATTGCTTTACCTGTAATCTGCCATACAACTTATCAGTTGACCGACCATGCCACTACAATTTAAAAAGTTTGTTGATAGATGAAAATGAAAATCATCATTTTGATAAAAAAAAATTTAATTGAAATGGATTTTCTTCATCAAATTATGAAGTTAATTATTTTAACATAAAAACAAATTGAATAATTCCCAAAGATTAAAAGAAAATTATTATCTACTCCAGGAATAATAAAAAAAATGTATTTATAATGGGTCCCATCAATGATTTCTATAGAAATCATCGGTCTTATGAAATGGTTCTCAAACAGACATGCATAATATAGATCTAAACATTTTTTTCTTTTCAGGAAGGAGTTATCACAAATATTTATTTTTGATAAAAATTATAAAATTCAACACTCAAATTTGAATAAAAAATGTTTGTGGGTTGTTCTAAAAAATGAATAAGGTTTTTTAATCAAGATGGGAACAAATTCTTTGACCTAAACGAAAGCACCAAAAGGGTATCTTACTATACCAAATTAATCCTTGATTCTTCAAAGTTTAGTTTAGCCATAATAAAAAGGAGTATATAACAGCAATAGAATGTCATAAACAGTGCAGAATAAGTCTGTTCACATTTCAGGCGAAATTTATACTGTTGAGATAGTGTCAAGACATATTTAAGACTGTCAAGAATGTGTCGAGACATATTCAGACATTATTTAGAATGTCAAGAATATGTCGAGACATATTCAGACATTATTAAGAATGTCAAGAATATGTCAAGACAGATCGAGACAAATTTAAGACAGTCAAGAATTGGTCGAGACTAATCCAGACTCTTATCAGATGATACAGGAAGTGTCGAGAAATTTTAAGACAATGTTCATACTGTCAAGACACTTGTCAAGAAAAATCAAGAACCTTATTAGACAAATTCATACTATGTCAAGAATTTTTTTAAATTATTCAGACAAATTAAGAATGTCGAGTAAAAATTCATGCAAAATCAGACAAAAACTGGTCTTTTCAGACTTTTTGACTTTTGTAGTGCTAGTAGTCAGCACTTCAGTTTTCACATGACTTATCAACGATATGGGCATAATTGTAAATTAACTGTTAAAAAAAACTTTGAATGTTTTCGAATTACTAAGGTATTTTCTATCACAGGTATAGATTACCTGAGCTTCATTTGGCAAAACCCTTTGGAATTGTGGTTCCTCAATGCTCTTATACTTCGTACTTTTTATGGCCTCCTCATTTGTATTTAATTCGAGGTTTTGTTGTCTGTTTCGAAAGAAAAGTTTAAATGGATAATAGTTGAAAATGTATGATTTTCCATGGAAACATTTCTTTTGGAAACAATATTTGTTCATCTTTTATCTGTTAAAGTATATCCCTGAACAGATCTACCAGGAAAAGAATAATTATACATACTCTTACTTAATAGAAAAAGATTAGGACAATTCTCAGTCTTTGTAATTGTTTAAAAAAAATATTTTTGTGTAACGTATTTCTGTTAAAAATATTCATAGTAGCCAAGGATATCTCCATAGCAAACAAATCAATTAATATATATGCACTTATAAATTATAAAATCAATGAGAAAATTTATAATTTCAGCACTTTTTTGTTTGCCTCAACTTATTAAAACATTTTTCTATGCACAGTGCTAAATGCTATTTATGGAAGGCCTCATGAGTTATTTTGAGATATTTGAATTTAAATTCGGGTAAATTACAGACTAGTTTTTATTAAAAAATCACAAGTTTTGAGAAACAATATTTTGTGCTTGAATTACAACCAAGTTGATAATTATGTTAATAAATGTTATATTAAATTGATTTTCAACACCCAAAAAATATTTTAATTTTGTTTAAAAATTTTCCGTCTGATTTTTTGGTGAAAAATTCACACATTCACAAAATTTCGAAAAATACTTTTCTGTTATGAATTCAATGAAAAATTGACGTATAGGTGAAATTATTAAGGTATTCCAAATCGTATCCAGATGTAAAAAAGTTTGAAACATGTGGTAACAAATCTAATGCCTCTCATAAAAATGTGGAAGTGGAATCTAGTTGTAATCTCCTTACTTGTTTAATATCAGTTTTCTATTTTGATGGGAAGTCATAATTTTTGTGTAGACAATGAAGATTTTGAGAATAAGCCTTTCTCTCTATACAAATGACAAAAGAGTATCAACAATCAATATTTTGAGTATCTAGTGGTAAACATTTTTACCATGTAACAGATTTGAGTACAAGTCATAAATGTCATAAATGTCATTTATTTTGCTTATTGTTGAGGTAACTAGATACATAATAAAAAGTGCTCAATACCCCTTTATTGTAACATGACTTCCAAGACATTTAAAGCTTCTATGACCAAAGTTATTCATAATCAAAAATGTATGCATGTAAAAGATAAACAGGACTTTTTGCTCAGGATTGAGACCATATGGTTACATACTTCTATAGCATCTGGTGGAATATTGTATCATTGACAATCATATCACATCTTCTTATTTTAAGAATACAGATTTTGATATATGCATAAATATAATAACTTTCACAACTGATAATGCTTGTTAATGAACAAAAAAACAAAATTGAATCCTGTATAAAATTTGAACCATTTCAACTGTCATCTTGAACTTTAAATAGTCTTTGATTTTTTATTAGATAAAAAGCAAAAAAATTGCAAGCACACGTTAAAGACATTTATACAAGAACGGTACTACATCCTATCCCTTCATCAAATAACAAACAAGATGCTCACATATACCTGTATTTGCTCACATAGATTATCAATATATTATCTAAAAATATTATTTAAAAAAATGTGATAACAGATTTTTTTTAAAAGTCTTTATTTAATATAATCCTGAAAAATAAATCTATTTTCGACATTTCATTATTAATCGTGGTAATCTTGGATATAATCAGTCCATCAAGTGTAATAGAACAATCCATGTAAAGTTTGTTTGAAATTGGCCTCAGAAATTTCAGAGCGGCAAATTAAGATATGAAATATGGACAGAAGACAATAATGGACACAAAGTGATGGCAATAGCTCACATATCCTTAAAGTAACTGTATTATCATACAATGTCATAGCACAAACTAGTGAACCCGCTGTCAAAAACTACGTATACTGTAGATAAAAGTAACAGTGACCCATTTCTTGTCTAATAGGTTATATTCATTAATATGTTGTACACAATGTAATCAGTCTTACTATGGTTAGAAAATTGTTACCTTTGACTTTAAATCCTCCATATTATAAAGAACAATAAAGAATATTTATGAATTTTATCAAAAGGTTAACTATTAATATGATTTAAATTGTATTGCCTGACATTCAATTATATAGAGTTGCTAAAGAATAAGGTATGCATAGTATACTAGAGCACGAATCAAAAAGACTAAGTTCTTGTCTAAAACTGTAGCTGACAAACATAGATTCATTTTAAAATTCTTGGTGCAACGTAATATTTAAATCATTATATCAAAATAAGTGACCTGATGTTCTATTATGTCAAGTTTAAGTCACCTAAGAAATAAGTGTTTTTGGTAATAACAATTACTGTTTATTGATATCATAGAAGCTTTATCACAGAAGTAAGTATGTCTGCAAATGAAAATGTTTGTTGATATCTATTAGAATTCACCCAAATTTTATAATTTAGATTCTGCAATTACATAATCTGAACCATACGGACTCTGAACCAACGTACTCTTCGTTTCGTAATACAAAAATCATACACTCTGAATGACAGATTTTGATGTTGTAACACGTAGTATGCCTAGACTATTTTTTGAGACAAAAGTGCTCTTAGTCAATCAATACCATTTTTTGAATTGACAAAATAAAATGTGTCTTGCACAAGCCAGTTGAAGCTGCCTTTTTGGCTAACTGTTTTGACATTCTTTTATTTTCAACTAGAGTTTTGAAAGATAAGTCATTTTAGCAATATTTAGGGTGCAATCCATCAAATGTAAAATTATAGTAGCTAAATTTCCATGTGATTGCAGATGTCTAAATAAAAATTTACAATCATATCAAGCATTATTTGCATTAAAGCTTTCCCCAAAATAAAATCTGACACTTAATCACACTGCTTGTAACTTTGACGACCTAGATATATACTCCTAAATAAGATTCTGGTCCAATGAACCTTTTAAAAGTTAGACAAAATGTATCCCCCATCTTCAGTTTTTTATTCAATTGGTTATAGAGTTTACGACAGTCAAAAGTTTTTATAATGTGCCCAACGACTGTTCGTCAAATTGCTATAAGATTTATAGAAAATTCAAAGGTTGGTGAATTTTCCGCAGGATCTTCATTATGGTACATTTGCCACTCAAGAATGCAAGTTTCGTTATGTCAGATGCTTGTGGTGTTTTCGTCTTTAAATATACATCACATAAGATGAGACAGTTTCATTTTTAGTTACTGCTGCTATCTCTACTATATCTGACTGACGATCTGAAATTTACAAAATTATCATTTAATCAAACTTAATAAATGTAATTATTTTACAACTCAAGAAATAAAAGGGACAAATTTTCCAAAAAAAATAATTAACTACTTTATATCATATTTGTATTTCTGTAATTGTTTTGTATATAAATCAGGCCGTTTTTTTTTTACTTTTGGATCGTTTTACGTTTGTCATTTCGTGTCGGTCATTTAATAGCTGGCTATGCGTTTTGAGTTTTGTTCATTGGTAAAGGCTGTACGATGAACCTTTAATATGGTTACTAACTTCTGTGTCTTTCGTCTTTGGTAGAGAGTTGTCTCATTGGCAATCACACTACATTATCTTAATTTTATAACCATTAATATGACTTCGAAACAAGAACAGGTCAACATGTCAAGGATGGTTCTGTATAATGTGGAATATTATTATGGTGTAAAAGCTTAGACCGAAGCACATTTTGAATGAAGTGGTGAATCGATTCATACTTAGAATGTGTGCACAGTTAATGTTTCCACTACCTGATACAATTACAAAAAAGAAGAACTTTTGCTAATAAGTATACTCATCATATGCTATAATCGTATAAATAATATCAAACGTTTCGTTTGTTTCCTATGCATTTTGCAACATTGTCATAGGAAGCACATGCTTTCATGAATATAGTATTTTTTGGAGAAATGAAAGACAATTTTGGAATGTTTTGTGCTTGTTGTTTGCCAACAAAAGTGCAGATTCTTATGTAAAGTAATTATATGTAAATGAAGCTGTTTACACCAGTTAATTTTGATCGGTTATAACTCAGATACACAGAAATTCTTTTATAGAATACATACACACGCCTGTGATTTCAAGATAAAGTTCAATAATTTGAATGTTTTCACAAGCTATCATTTGTTTAATAGGTGCAATTTCTTCTAGTTGGTCAGTGAGATCTTCCTCAAAGCCTAGAAAATTGTTGTAAATTCTAATTATAATTGACTTATACTGTCTACTCAATATACTAAATATTTGATATGATTTTGCTAGGTTTCAATTCTAGTTTTATTTTAACTGTTTCTAGTTGTGCTAATGATTTACTCAATAGTTAAAGACATTAGTGTTCTATGTCATATGAACACTTGTGGAAAGTAGTCTCATTGCCAATTAAATCTTCATATTTTTTTATATTGAGCTTATAACTAGAGGCTTTCAGGAGCCTGTAAAGGCTCGTCTGGATTGCATGTTACCGGAATGAGAAAATATCAGTAAAACTATGTGTATGGGTAAGACAGGAATTTCTTTTCAGAGGAAAAACTAAATATTAAATTTAAATGGACAAAAATAGACTATGGATGCAAAGTGACGACAATAGCTTTCCCTTTCCACCAGCCAGTTGAGCTTATAATAAATAAATAAAATGACAAGTGGAAGGCTCTAATTATATACATTTTTTTTCGGACATGACCTTTGAAATACAGAATGAAGATATGAATTTACCAATATTGTTTTCGTAAGTTGTTCCCTCTAGAACTTCTGCTTCACCATTACTGTTACATTTCTCTGATTTCAGCTGAATTCTTCTCATTTGACATTTCTTTGTCTTTGGTATTTTACTGTACTTTTTCTTATCTCATTCAATAAAGTAACACGCTTTATGGTAAAGTTGACTGGTGAGAGCCCCAATGATGTATGAACCTGTTAAATGCATGTCAGGGAAATTAATTGTACAATAACAACAGTATATATATGCAACCTTTATATAGAACACACTGCAATCTTATGACTGAAATTTGAAGAAGATATATGATAATAGAGATAAAGAATGATGCTTATATTTCGGTGATTTTGTGGCTAACAGTTAACATTTTTGAGACAGCTATTCACAATTGTAAATTAACTCGTTATGGGATTCGTAAATTTTATAAAGGAATCAATTTTACCCCTTGGAACGCTTAAAAAAATTATCCGTATCCTGCAAGCTTTTATCAATGAAAAGGGGATAGGAATCGGTAACTCTAGGTTATAGTATCAACTGGGAGACATAAACTCCATTTGCATTGGCGCTGAAATGTTTTTACATAGAAATGAAGGAGGGGCGAAAGATACCAGAGGGACAGTCTAACTCGTAGATCGAAAAAAAAAAAAAAACTGACAACGCCAAGGCTAAAAAAGAAAAAGACAAACAGACTAATGATAGTACACAACACACAACATAGAAACTTAAGACTAAGCAACACGAACCCCACCAATAACTGGGGTGATCTCAGGTGCTCTGGAAGGGTAAGCAGATCCTGCTCCACATGTGGCACCCGTCGTGTTGCTCATGTTATTACAAACGTGGTAAATAGTCTAATTCGGTACGTCACATTCGTGAAAAGGAAAGGGGATTGTAGTTACGACATAAGGAACATATCCGATATCATCTGTGAAACTGTTATTCCATAACAGCCAACCAACTCGTGATGGCGTCCGTAAAATTTACGAAGGCATGATTTCAGCTTCACCATTTGAAACTCTTGGTTTAATAGCTTCCTTGTAAGCAGCAACCCTCTATCAAAGAAATCATGATAGGAAATAGAAGCCCGGGAATATCGTATCAATTGGGAGATATATACTCCGTATGCAGGCGCTGCTGGAATGTTGCTACATAGAAATGGAAAGTTCACAATTGGGAAGCTGAAATCATCTATTTTGTCGTAAAGTTTTGTTTTCAACCGACCCTCATTGTCAATTTCTAGATGTAAGTCAAGATATGAGGCAGACTTAGCTGTATCTGTTGTATCCTTATCTCAAGTTCGATGGGATAGATGCGTTCAACACAGTCACCAAATTTTGAATTATTTAGCGAGAGAACATCATCTATATAGCGGAAAGTAAAGTTAAAGGATATTGCTAACTTCTTATCTTTCTTCCTTAGAATTCCTGTATGAAGTCAGCCTCATAATAATAAAGGAACAAGTCGGCAAGAAGAGGGGCACAATTGGTTCCCATTTGAACGCCGACAGTCTGTTGAAAAACACGTCCTCCAAACGTAACAAATATGTTGTCAATCAAGAAGTCAAGCATCTTGATAATGTCAGTTTCAGAGAATTTTTTGTTTGAATCAGAGTGATTCTTTACAAAGTAGGATTTATCCCTCCCTAAGACAAGATACTTATATCTACGTTGGCAATTCTTTTTATGAAACAAAGCAATACCAACTCTTTCAATTAGTCTTTTAGTTTGGAATGGGGAATACTTGTGTAAAGTCAAATGTTTGATACTATGGCAAGATGAAAGATTCTTAGATTGTATGTACTCTAAAAGATCTTTGGAATTTTTTAGTATCCACATCTGATTCACGCCACATCTAGAATAGGCAGTGTCACAATAACTTTGAAGCCCAGCTTTAATTGCTGATAAAATAGAAGTTAAGAATTTAGAAAGAGGTTTCGTGGAGCAACTGGAAGACCCAGCAATATACTGTTGTTTGTAAGGACACTTATGTAGTTTAGGTATCCAATACAATGATGGAAGATCCAGTTCTTCATCTTTGGTTGAAATTCCAAAGAAACATAGAACAGACCTATGATTATCCAGGATGTCCTTTTTGATAAGTGTCGTTAGGGTATATGTTGAGTTTTCAAGTGAATTGTCAATAGCTAATTCATTTATCAAGCAATTTATGTAATGAAATTTACACACAAAAACGATGTTGTTTGGGGCTTTATCTGCGGGGACAACAACATATTTGTCATGGAGGTAGGACAAGTGTTTTGCAACATTTGGGTCTTTAAAGATTGACGTAGCATGGGTATTGATAGACCCATTCAGTTTCTTAATTCTGGTTTGTATCAACGCGATTGAAGATAACTTTAGTCCTAGTATCTATAATATGATAAACCGACATCTGAAAGTGATTGGTTTTCGTGAAGAAGAAAACTTATATAGAGTAGGACTACATAGTCCTTTTAGGATCTTTAATATGTATTATCACAAAACAAATACTAGTTATAATTCATCTAGAATTGTAAATAGTAGTCACTGGTGAAAGGTGAAAACGAAACCAACTCGACTCAACTTAACAATAAATGAGTATTCGGTTATGTAAACATATTATTCATTAATAATGGTTGGGACATCATATACATATATATATTCTATTTCAAAATTGAATTTCGTGTATATCAAAACGCGCTTCGTATGACGAAAAGCTGGAAGGTGTAATAATTAATACAGATGTATTCAATTATATTTGTTATATATTGAATGTAACAAGATGATGTAAGAGAATAACAATTTCACAAATATTTAAAGAACTGCGATGTGCAAATAGCATACAAAGTTTATGTATGTCAGTTATGCAGCTAATAATTGATAACCTGTCGCTCCCGACATCGACCAGAAGTAATAAAAAAGGAATGTGACAATGTGTAAAACTTAAAATATATTCAACAATCAGACGCAACCAATTGCAGACTGACAACGACAAGGGATAAAGTAACTGTGTTATTCAATCTATATTTAGGTGGTTAACAATAGGTTGACATAAACAAATCAACAACAATTACAGCTTTATTCCCGAAAACAGGAGCATACCAAATGAAATATGGACAGGAACAGACTTAGATGCATTCGTTTTACCCATGTTGATGTGTTATGTGGTTGGTCTATCCCTTTAATTATCACTGATTTTAATATAAATTGTGACATATACCTTTTAAAACTAGCATTTTGTAAAGGTTCACCATTTGGAAAGGGTTAAGATTTTGACAACCCTAATTAAATATTTTGAAAATAAAACATCCATATTTGAAATAATAATCATGCTTGGGATATTACCTTAGAGCCCACCATTTTTGCACGCACGTCAAATTTATAAATGAGTGATTGAATTATGCTGCTATTAATATATTATTGTGGTTGTGATTTTCAGGTATGATTCAATGGATCCCTAGTATCTATGAAAAGTATTCTCAAAACGAGTTTGCTGATTTTTGACTATTAATCAAGGTACATAATTGAATATCAAACATGTTATTCGGTTCGTTCCTTTCCCGCATGACGGTATTAATTTAGGTTATCAAAGTAATGAATCAGAAGATACTTTTCAAAAGGTAAACAAAAAGCTCCGCAATTATAACTTCACCTCTGAATAAACTCATCACTAGATACTATGATTAAAAGTATTTAAATGACTTCTCTGATCTGAAAAGCTACAGTTTGATCCATTATTATCAAATTTCGGCAATGTCGCAACGACTCAAACGATGCCAACCATCTTTTACAACTACAACAGAACATGACTTGAAATAAAAATAAACATATGTACTACAACTGAATTCAAATAAAATGAAATATAAAACTGGAAAAAATATATCGTCTGCAAGCTTGTTATAGGAATTGTAACTTCTCAAATACATTCAGTAAATGAATGATTGATGATTTATTTCTAACCATTACCAATGTCTTAAAATATGAAACATATTAGAACAAAGAGTATTTAAGGTAAATTAAAATATTTAAGAGACTTAACCTTAGAATGAAAATAAAAGACATAATCTGTTTTTATATCAATAAAGTGAACTGACAATGATATTTATAAAGAAATATTCAATAGTTATATTTACATCAATAAACAATCAATGGTATGTCTCATGAAAAATAATATCATATATCTAATATATTTACTACCGTTAGTACAAATATATCTTTATGTTTAAAGCAGTATTTATCATAGATAATACAACAACAACATTAAATGTAAGTATTAAATTAGTTAATTATACATACATGTATCATGAGGTGAGTACATTTTATAAGCTGTGTTGAATTTATATTTTAAGTTTTCATTCATTTCAGCAATGTAAAGTGTATAGCATGATGGTATTATATATAAAGCAAATCACAAATGAGAGAACTTTAAATTTTGTCAAAAATGAAAATGACCTTTAACTAAGTTTCAGCTTTTTTAAAGCAAATTCTCGACAAAAGGAATTAGACATTTCGTATATCTACTTTTATAAATGCTGTTTATACGAGTATGCAACAATTTTTTGACTGATTAATTCAATTGACAAATCGTTCACCATCAATCTATATACATTGTCAACCAATATACAGTTTGACAAAAACATGATACAATGTGCAAGGGAACACATAAAGTGCAAATAAGTAACACATGTTTAGATATTTTGGGAGCTAAATATCGAAGAAATCATATGAATTCTTGTTAAAAGAATAACTACCGCATGTCATCATTTACAAAGATACGAAAACAATTACTTTTTTTTCAACTATTGGTTAACACATCCTAAACCTTTTTGCAGCATCGGACTGTATACCCATGTATATATATATTTTGAAAAAAAATATATAAAAGAAATAACGTGTTTGTTTTATAAAATAGTCGGACCCGTCTTTATAAATTTCATTACCGTCATGATAAATCCATGCGACACTCGAAAAGCATTTATGTTACAATTTACCGGGAATACGTAATCCATCAAAATTGCATTACCTTGTATCGTTTCTTTGACTAGAGAAAATTGAAATAGAACAGTGTAAATATGACTAAATTCACATGAAAAAATCGCCTCATGAGAAGCTTAACGTCATATGAAACGAGTGACTGGTGAAAAATAGTGTGTGTCCAATTCTTGAACCAATGCATGTATATATCATAAACGTAGTCTTCTGTGCACAATTGTATCAATTTTTACGCATTCATATCGTATAATCGTAATATGTTTTAACTCTCGGTCTGTTTTGATATGAAAATATGGCAGCTGATTTATTGTCGTGTTATGAAGCCGTAGTTTACCGATTGTCACCTTAGTAAATAATCAACAAAGAAGCATGAATATTGAGCACGTGTATACCATGTAAAATATTAGGGTTAACAGTTTATTTCAATGACATATCCATGCGTATTGCGTATTGCGATCACCGAATTTTTACGAGAAAGGTCACGTTGAGTTCACTGCATACAGAAAATATATCGGCGAATGGTTTACTGGAAGCAAACAATTAAAAAAAAGTAAATTTCGCCTAAATTTGGACAAATTATAGAATTTTCTTGAGAAAAAGTATTTGTACATAAGTTTTATGATAAAAACTAACCATTTAGTTATAAAAAAACGGGTGCAGGTCGTTTCGTAACCTGGTCGTTTCGTACCTAGTCGATTCGTAACTTAGTTCGTTTTGTAACTGAGACGTTTCGTAACCTTATATTAATATATCATGATATGAGCTGTAGATTATGGAAGATATGTTAAATAAATATTTCGATTAACAAAATAAAAGATTTATTGATATATATTTATCTATATATAGCATTTATTAAATAATTGATTGCACTTAATTTCACATTTTAAAAGTACGGTTTTGACTACATACGAAACAGAAGAATTTAAATTGTCCATCATCATTTAGTTGTACCCAAGAAGACGATTAAAAAATTAAAAAAAAAACCAAAACTTCAACTCCGCCAATGGCAATTGCATGTCAAAGTGAAAAAAAAAGTAGAAAACAATTATTTTTTCAGGTCGTGTGCCATTTTTAAAAAAGCATATGCATCACTTTTTATTAATTTGAAGTTTCATATGCCATTAACAACGCGATTAACTTTCCGATTTTGATCTAAGAACTTCACATAACAAATTGTACAGTGTAGGATAATTCAAAATTACATAAGGGACATGGTAATCAACTAGAGTCGAAAGATACAAAGGGACATATACATGTTGAATAAAGAAACGCAAAAGACAATTTTGTGAATAAAGAATAGTCTAATATTCAATATTTGAGTCTTATTATAAATATACTATTTTGACATGTCAAAATTGACAAATCAATTTGGTTATGCATTTAAGTGCTATTTTCTTCAACTGAACTAGAATTAAAGATGAATATTTTTCCTGCTATTGGAATATGATTTTAAGAATGAGGGTATGTAAGAGGTCTATATTTGAGTTTAAGAACGACGGAAATGGGAAAAATAGATGTGTTTTTCATCTTTATAAAATGCATTGTAAATTTGGCCTAAACATCAACAAAATAGTTTCCCTCTCACCTGTACATGTAGCACCGGTCCAGTTGCCAACACACGTGCATAACAAATCGCCATAACTGTTTTGACTACAAGATCCACCATTTAAACAGTACTCAGGATGACACGAATAGTCTACGAATGATTATAAAACATTTTTACATTAGAATAAGCACTTTCAATATTTTTTTCTATATAAAGCATGCTAATGAAAAACAAAAGAAATACATATCTTAAATTTATTGATGATATTTTAACTTTGATTTATAACCATATAGATATATAACTGAATGATTATTGAAACGATGCCTTTCGCCTTTAAATTGATAAATTAATTAATCACATAGATATGTTGAAGCTCAAAATCATGAAAGGAAACAAGAAGTGTGTTTTAAACGTCTCTTACATATGATTGCCATAGAGTAAAGACATTTTGCAGTTTTTTTTATCGATATACAAACTCAATACTCAGTACAAATATACAAATAAAGGTAAAAACAAATACTGATTGAATCGTATAAACGTATCGAGGCCGGTACATTGTCAAGATTAGTGTCTCCATCTATGTGCAAAATTACAGCACTCGCATATGAGGGTTTAGAATGTCATATTTGTCAAACAGCTTATAATATCGCTTTATTTTTACAACGGAACTGACTTTGATATATTTAAAGTGCAATTGCCTTATTGGCAATGTCAAAAATAAAAGATGCTGTCGAAACAAGACATAAACATACAAACATATCTATATAGACAACATTTTATATAACGATCAAAATAAAGGATTCGCATATATTCTACAAAATATTTTTAAGTGTGTGTAAACAATATGTTTCTTATCGAGAAAAAAAGATTTTCAATAATGATAACCATCAAAATTCATATTTTATACATTCATTAACTGATGTGTATGCTTTATTTGAAATATAAAGATATACAAGTAGCATTACTATTAAGATTTTAAATACTCATTTTCGCCATTTACCTATTTCATACGGTTGTTTTGTTTTCATTAAAATCTTCTATTGTTCTTTTGCACAAACGTTTGATTTACCATATTTACATTTACATTGTTGAATTGCTTTTTTGACATGTAACATGATGCAAATGAAAAAAAAAATCAAATAGTTAAGAAACAATAATGCATACAAAAATGAAATATGATTATAAACATCTGAAACTCAAATTTGGTAAACTGAGCTGTCATGAAAACTCGCAGATATAACAAATACTCAGAACGTTGATTATTTGTCAATTCTACATTCTACATTTCAGCTGAGGAAATCTACAGAATCCATGTACCGTAAACATCCTGCGTAAAAGACACTTTGAAAAAATTATCTTCTTAAGCAACGGTTGTACTTTCTGTGTGATACCGTTCTCTTTCTCATACTTATTTACAACGATCTCAATATAATATTTAATTTCGCTATTGTACTTGGACAGAATCATAAGTTTCCCAAGGTTTTTGTTTATGGGAAAAAGGGACAGCAGATACCAATGCAACATTCAAACTTAGTTTTGTAATTTTGAGAGCTTTTGGAAAACACCAAATACGACAGAACGACAAATCTAAAAACCTAAAAACTTATTTAGATAAATCCCACACAGAACTCTAGGCGATCTCAGTTGCTACGGAAGAATAAAGTGATCCTGCTCAACAAGTGACATCAATCTTAAATATTGTTTTTAAAAAAATCGGACACAACCATGGATATCAATAAAAATAATAGGACGACAAAAAAAAAGTTTCACATAGCATTCAGGTTTGAACATCAAAATATCCAATTATAAAACGACCGTAAAAACTGGGTACTCCGAAAGATACAACAGATCCTGCTCCTCATGTAACATCTGTCTTCCTATTTGTCCATTGATTAGGCGGAATGGTAAATGTTTCTAGTTTTATCCGTAGACAGCGACAACTACAGAAGTCATTGGTGCATGATAGTTATACAACCGTAATGTTTGACCAAATGTGAAAGTCGGAAAGGAAAATTAGATTTTCTAAAACAAAGATATACAATTCTTTTATCAGTTGAGACATCACAGACATTCAATAAAATAAATAGCACATCATTCAGCACTGAAAACTAATCAAAAGTAAAACAAACCTTTTTAAAAATTCTAGACACAATTCAAGATCGCTTAAGGGTTTGACATTTTCTGCTCCAGATATGGCATACACTCTGCTGCTAATACATCTTCGACACATGTGGGTATATAAACAAGTGGCCTTTTAAAAACATGAAGCAACTTATTCATGCCATTGCCATTGCTTTTGAATTAACCGAAAACATACTTACTAGTACAATTAACAAAAACACTTTCTGGGAGATAGAATAGTTTATCATTCCCCCGATCTAAACATGTTACAATTCCCTCTTGTTGATTTGTTTTCAACCAGGACCAAAATGGAAAGTTTTTACAATCACAGACTAGTCGAAGACTTCTGTTTGAAAAAAAATGAAATTAAATAACTGTATTAGGTTTTAAGTACATTTCGTATTCGTACGGTTCAGGTAAATACAATCGAACAATTATAACGATGAATTACAGGACTAGTACTGACCTTTCAGATCAACAATGAGCTTTACATGCCAGATAATGTTTTAAAAATAAGAATAGTCTTTGCACAGTAGCTCCGAGTCCCATCAACAATGATCTTTACTTACAAACTTCAGTGGTTGTCGTTATATTTTTTATTCATCAACTGTTTTGTTACAAATAAGGCTGTTAGTTTTCTCAAGTGAACGGTTTTACATTTTTTGTGCGGTGCTTTTTTTTTTGGCGACTAAACGGTATTTTTTTTTCTTATTGTTGAAGGTCGTACGGTTACCTACAATTGTTTTCATCCTCTTCATTTCAATTGTGGTGGATAGTTACTTAATTTCTATTCATACCACATTTCCTCATTTTATAATCATAATTTAAAACTGAATTTTTGAGATACTTAGTCTACGGTTTTTCTACCTCAGGAATAGATAACCTTAGCTGTGTGACAAAACGTTTAGGACTTGGTGGTCTTCAATGCTCTTTAACTTCGTACTTTATTTTGCTTTTTTTATTTTTTTTATTTCGAGCGTCACTTGTGCGTCTTTTGTAGTTGAAACGCGCGTCTGGCGCAAGTACAAAATTTCGATCCTGGTATCTATGATGAGTTTATTTATTGTGTTTTACTGTACTGACTAAGTCTGAACCAGAAGCATGATATGAAAATGATTTGCATGCAAAATTATTTGCGACACAATAATGAGCTTGTTATTAAAACATTAGTCAAAATAGTGCTTGAAAAAATTCTATTTTGCATAATTTATTTAAAAGGTATTGGCGAAATCTACACGGTTTAAAAAGACTTATCATTACGAAATACTAGTTGATTGTGACATTTATCTTTTGCAGTGCTGTTTTCATTTTTTTTAACGTTTAGTAACGATTTAGAAACCTGTTTTTTCAGTTGTCATGTTTGGTAGCCTTGCAATAGGTGACGTATCTCTCTTCTGCTAAGTATATAAAACAGCACGTGTCACGCGGTAAATCTGTCTTATATGTGGCTAGCGAGACAAATCTTGTCAACGTCCTTTATTACGTTAACAAGAATTAGGCAATATGCTTGAAAGAAGTGGGCGCTTGAAACAATATGAGCTTGCTGATCAAAAGGGTTGGGTGCGCAACAAATATTCAATCTCAAACTAAAGTGTCTGTTCATCAATACATCTCGCACTAAGTTGTTGATGTCATCTTATTATTGATTATGAAATAATTGTATAAATTTAGTAACACAAGTCTTACAGAATTTGTAAGCTGGGGAGATGGTCAAAAGTATCATTCCTGACAAATACCACTTTGTTTCCGCTCAAGTCTCTAAAAAATAATTAGGTATATTACTCTATATTATCAAAAATGAATTTACTACTTACGATTTAAACCTTGCTCATTCACAGATTGATAAAGATTACCCCATACATTACGATAATGCATATTGCAAATGCACAGAAAGAATGTGCAGTGAACAAAGTTTTTTAGATTTATTTTATTTTTCTCATTATTTTTGATGATAAACAAAACTTTCAAGGTTTAAGAAAACTATCAAAATGAACAAATTGTTGCATGTTTTAATAAATAATATATAATTAACATTTCGTTTGTACAATGTAGGAACAGACACAAACCAAATAAAACTACAGGAATGGTCTCAGGTGCCCCGGCAAATTGAACTGATTCTGATTCGCAAGTTGTACCCGTCGTATTAATAGCACACTACAGTAAGGTGTGTTGTTTCGGAATTTTGCTCTTGTGGATTTTTCAACAATAAGAGCTAGTGTGCAATAAAATTCATGTTTGTATAGCTGAAGAATAAAATAGTCTGTATAGGGGGTTTGTATGAACATCAATATTGTGGAATGTATTAAACATGGGCTGTTTTCTGTATGACAGTCCGTATTATCACATCCATATCAAATATTGGTCCGGCAATTTTTGGAATGTTTTTTTCTAACTTTTTGTTGCACGAATTTTGTGATTAAATCTTACGGAAAAAAATGATGCGAAATACACCCATTTTTTATTTGATCATCTGGTAGATTTTTTATGGTATATAAATATAAAATGTTGCCATATATACAAACCAAAAAAAAAAAGGAATTGTATGTCATCATTTTAACTTTTGAAACTCGAATCTATGGAAAATACTGATTAAATACATCTGCACATGTATGACACAAACCAAACAGTTAGCTTTATGTATGAGAAAAACCAGGAATAGAAGATGACTTAACATTTTGTTGTTCAATTTTAATGTTATTTACTAACAGTGGAGTGCTTCCATTACTCATGGTTATTACAAAACGATAAAGAGTCCCATTCAAACTGTCACAATAGAGAAAAAATCAATGGGATTTCGATTGCAAAAACGTTTGACTAACAAAATCTCATTCAGTTTTTATTTGAATTCGAATTATTTGACAACAACAGTCAAAGTACATCTGGAATGAAACAATCCTTTTAAAGGTTATATCACCAAGCATTAAAATAAAATTGACATATGTTCAATCAAATTAAAAAAAAAAATTATATAAGAAAGAAGTTGAGTTATAAATTTATTACCTGTATAAACACACAGGGTAGCGGAGAATAATGAATTCTGTGGAATACTTAAAGTTAAGGTAGGGGTCGTACATAATTTCAAAGTTAAAATTTAAATCCTGGTATCTATGATGAGTTTTTTTCAATGTTTTTATTAGCAAGAATAATTAAACAGCAGTAAACAAATTCGAAATCTTTAAACTGATGTTGAAAAACGATGATTTATTAACAATACCTAACCAAAACTTCTATGGTAAATAACTCATTTCAAACAAGTTATAAATACAATTAAGTCATTTTCATATCTCAACTTGCCTGTAGAAATTCAGACGCTTGTTTGATACACGGCAGTGAGGATAATTTTTGTTTTTTTACTGAAGCAGCATATATTGCGCAGCATGTCTCACGTTTAATACGATATATAAAGGCACCAAATTTCTTTTAATTAAGGAATCACAACTTAAACACGAACACCATCAATATAAGGATGAGACTCTTATGAAGGAGAAGTTTAAGAAAGGTTCTTGTTGTTCGAAAAACAAAACATCGATTAAGGTAAACATAGTTTGGTCTCTGACTGATGCCATATCTTATTTGCATACATACAGCAATTTGAGGATTGGTAGATTCTGAAATGCTCCTTGTTGTATTGTTGTTATTTGATTGTTGTATAAAAATCTGAAACAGAGAAATCTGTGGTTAGTATATAGATTTCCTGAAGAGTATTTTCCAAAACTATGATAACTCTTACTGGAAATCAACTATTATTTCGAGGTTTTTTCTGGATTTTTTTCTGTATCTCTTAGTTTTTCAGCTTGAAAATACTTTCCAAATAAAAAATTATGGTCAAAGTTATGTTATGGGGTTGTTTTCGTCATTGAATTAAGTACGCATCTGAACATTTTTTTGCATGATTTGGCAAAACGTAATAAATTAACATTAGACAATTTCAAGTGGAGCATAACCAAACTACCACAACGATTGCAAATCTTACAGATATGTGTGTCATTATTTCTACCAATAATACCAACAAATTGCATATCAACTATAGATGTATAAGGTAGTATTCGTTTAACAAAATTACTCACAATTCGTGCAATCTTATGAGATTGATGAAGACTTTAGATTCAATATTAAGTAGGTTGTTGTCTTGCATTCGTCTGTAGAAGAGAATATAACCCACATGATCTTATAAATTATATAACAAGTTGTTATGTTTGATAAATAAAGGCAACAGTAGTATACCGCTGATAATTCTTACTGAAATCAGCTATTATTTCGAGATTTTTTTTTTTTTTCCTTCCTTTCTATGTTATGTAATGTTTCTCTTTATCTCTTAGTTTTTCAGCGTGAAAAAAACATACCAAATAGAAAATTGAAATAGATATTTTTTTATACTTCCTATGGTTGAAAAAATATTCAAATATAAAAAACTATGCGGAAGAAATTACATTTTCGTAAATTGGCATAGTTGCAACATACATGTAGTTGTACTGTTACATGTACATATTGTATATGTTTGAAGGGAGCGGACACAAATATTTAAAAATCAACCGCATTCTGTTTGTAGTTGTTGTCATCTAGGAACAAAAAGTACAGTAACCGTCTACCATTTTTGAGCAAGATGCACTAAAGGGTCGGAGTAAAATTACCTTATAAACAAGCACGCCAATAATTTGGCCCAACACGTCGGTTTAGTACCAAACAGGGTTGATATTCATATTATATTGATATATTCTAGTGGCGGTATACATGTATCATTTGCCTCTGGAGGTTAAACACTAATTCATCATCTTCAACTATAATTATTTGTTGTCCCTTTTTGTAATTGATGTAAATTTGTTCGTTGATTTTATCTATATAATTGATTCATATCTTGTCTACCCAGGTTTTTAAAATTTACTATACCATATGTGTTTTGCGGAATAACGAAAATATACAATTACATGTAGGTGTGAAATTCACTGCCCATTCGTTTTTGCTGAATAATAGTCCATTTGTCAATCTTACACCGTGTCTAACTTTCTAAACCTTCGCACAGCATAAAGAAAGGAGGAGACTATACCCCCAATTTTAAATGACGGGGATATGAGCAGTCTGGGTCGTTGAACGGCCTTCAACAATGAGAAAAAACACAAACCGTGTAGTAGCCTATAAAAGGCCACGAATTTGATAAACAATTCAAACGAATAAACTAACGGCATAAGTTATAATGTTCTAATACAATTCACCAAAAAAAAAAAAACATATCGCAGACATGCACCAACAACTACAACTGAATTACAGGTTCCGAACTTTGGACAGGCATATACAACACAATATGGCGGGATTAAAAATGTTTTAGAGCGCTCAAGCCTCCCTAAGTTGGCTACAGAACAACATACAAACAAACTATAAAAATCAGTTGAAAGGCTTATCCCAATTCTCCTCTTATATTTGATGTGTTTTCCCTCAGTTTTAGTTTATAACCCGGTTTTGCTTTTTTTTCAATCGATTTATGAATGTCGAACAGCGGTATACTACTGTTGCCTTTATTTATCCCAGTAGATAGGAACGAATTACCAAAAAAAGCTAAAATAAAAACAATTATACAAAGGACCGATACAAGAGTACTTGTAGTTTCTTAAAGCTAGTTAAAAGACATCAACAGCTATTAAATTATTTAGAATGAAACATCACATGCAGTCTGAGATACCCATTACCTTGGGAAATGCCAACTTTAAAAACAAACCAAGGTGTCTACAGTTTATAGGATCATGAGTAACTAACTTTACATATATAGCATTATATGTTGAGTCATGTTTAACCGCTTCAAAAACAAAGCATACCTCATCTCCATATTTTTACAACGGTGTTGTCAAGAAAACAATTTACAGCTTTACTCATCTCATCAAAGTTTAGTAAGTGATATCTAGATATTTCCCTTAGGCATTACATAAGAATATTTTATATCTCTTCCATCACATAAACTTATTGCAATGATATTTTCGTAATCATATTACTAATGATAAATTTGATGCGTCCCTAATGCCTTTTTGAATTTTCATTTAAAGTCATGCCTGGGAATGTAGGAATCCTAATTAGTCATTCAATGAAAAATGACATACAAAATATCCAAAACCTTTAAGATAATTGACTGATGAAGTTGATAGACACAATAATCCACATAGTTGTATCAATTTCTAGTAATAACAATTTACAAGCTCTAGACTTTGTTTGGTTCTTATTAAAATGCCGTTTAAAATGTATACATACAGATATCTGAGATATGGTAGTTTCTGAAACGCTCCTTGTTGTAATGTAGATATTTGATTGTTAATCAACGTTCTGAAACATCAAAATTGTATATTCTCATTAACAAAAATTAGTTTGTCTTCATACATGTAACTCTAGAATGTATTGCGTAAATTTTTGCCGAATTTTAACTTTCCAGTCTTTTTGGCAATATTTCTATTTTTACTTCTTTTTGTTTCTTTATTCTTTTATGTGAAACTACAGACTTTAATCAAATAATTATACCCTCTTTAAGAATTAATAGTACATTAATTTTATGACTTTATATCGAAATAAAAACTCAACATGTAAATAGTTTTTAGCAATTATAGTTGCAAACAATTTGTTTTTTTTGAAAGACCATTTTATTATATTTTAATATTGGGTTTGTTGAAAAGATTTGTGCGGAGATGTAGCTAAAATAGTTTACAGTCTAGGCTCTCGGTTATAAACGGAGTTGTAATAACATGGCAATAGCAATTATTTATAAACCTTTTTATTATATTTTTTGAAAAACCATGGCAAAGTATCAGAAAACTATATCTGAGGAAATGTATACCGATGATCCACTTAAAAACTTGAATTTGTACTTTGTATTATACAATGATGTTTTTCTGTGAACTTCCCGTATTTCTACGACAACCGAATAGTTATCAGATCTGGTAATTTACCGACTGTGTCATATTCACAAGTGTGACGTGTTTGATAAGCGCGGACTCTCATCGTGGTTATGCATGCATTAAATGAAACGCGTATCGTATCGACAGATTTCATATCGCTCAATTTTTGGTTGAGCGATTCCACTGTGGTTTCTTTTGCTTTGTTGGCTTGTGTATTGTCTATGGACTCAAATTTGATAATTGGTAAGCTACCGTTTAATCTTATAAGAAGATCGATTTTGAATAAATTTTAAAATGTTAAATGTTATCAGTTAGCTCTCTTTTACATTAAAATAGTATTATTCTAGTAAGAACACATATTTCCCTTACATGAAAATACACAGACATATATTGCAAGCTGCTAAATACATACAAGTGAACCATGTTTGGCAAATTCACAAATGCTCCTGTTTCAATCGTTGATATTAAACCATCATTCATTGATCTAAAATTATATTCAAGAATATGCATAGCATTTTTGATTGTAGAAGCAATACACAAATTTTAAATACACAAAATTAATACCGAAAATCACACCAAATTATATGGTAATAAATGTTAGCGCTTTCATTCGTCGTTTTGGCTCATCAGACAGTTATGAACGGTAATTTAGAATTGAATGCTTCTTTTTGTCAATTCATTTAGGTAAATCGTTCACCGAAGTACAGTATGTATGAATTACTAGTCAAACATAGGAAAGAATAACGACCATCCAGAAATAGAGATGAAGATCTCGATAAATATATCAACCGCTTAAAAACGGAAGCAGATTAGAATATTTCTCATGTAAATATGTTGTCAAAAAAATCGAAACATGAAAATAAAGCTTGAAAAGGACTTCAAATTGATAAACCAATTGATATCAAAGAAACCGCTATAGGCGGCTAAATAGTAATAATCGACAAATAAACATTATTAACATAAAGTGATGGCGCATAAAAAAAAACCCCAAAAAACCCCAAATTTACCTAATATTCAATATCGTTATCAGGATGACTGAGTCAATCATTAACAGGGTGTAATTGGTGTAAACGTCTTAAGATAAAACGTTGGTCTGTTTGATTTAAATATTTGATAAAATTTTCTTATTTGCATTGGACATTAGGAAAAATCTACTCATAGGCTAACTTATATATACAATTTATCAGTGGTTTTTACATTTTCCCTTTGATATTACTATCATGTAGTTTTTATATCATGGACAGGCCTATTTCTCGAAAATATTAGACAATGACGTCACGTCACGGTGCAGCAACGTCACGTGTTCATGTCCATCCACGATTTATCAATGAAATGCACGCACCTTTATTAATACTAGCGAATAACTATCACAACGGTTTTAACACTTAAAAATAGTTTACTAATTTAATCTATATTTCATATTCTCAACCAAAAAAAAACTTCGTTATTAAAGACAAATAGCCGATATAAAGGAAATTATATGTTTTTACACTGACTTCATCTCTTCGAATATCAGCTCGCCCTGGCGGGTGTGCTTGATATTGTTGTTGATAAAATCAGTTTAAAAAACAAAATTTCTATCATCTTAGATAGATAAGCCACTGTTTAAATATATTAAAAAAATATTAGTACTCACATCGCATATAATACTGACAAATTTTGAAAAGCTCCTTCTTCAACTGTGGTAAAATAATTGCTATCCATCTTTCTAAAATGCAATGCACACGTGTACTATTTTTGATGATTTCTTTGGTGATCAGTTATGAGACTAGTGTAAAATGATGTGTTATTTCTTTTAAACTTGATATAGCTCTAACCATCCCCTTTGGGATCTATTGAGGCAATTGTAGATGTTTGGCTGTCCTGTTCATTACATATCATTTCAATTTGATATCCTAAACATTTATTTTTTTCAATAATCATCTTCTTTTTTTCAGTATCGAAATTATCATAATTCAAAGCTTTGAGAATAATAGGAAATTATATGTGCACCATCCCATAACAGTAGCATAGTTCATCTGTTACAAAGTGAGTAGGTTTTGTAACTCTCACTTAATATCGATATGTTTTAGTTAAATACTGTAAAATATGCGATTTTGATACACAATGGTAATTTACAATCATCATGGTCGTTACATACATAATGAGATAGCTACGTCAAATCATTTTGAAGAAAATGTTGTTTTACAATTAAATCATTGCTTATCAATACAAATCTGTTTTGAATTTATCATTTTAATAGAACATTTTCTGGATATATTTGAAAACCAAGCAATTATTTTTGATGTTAAAACTATAATTAAAAAGCTAATGATTATTTATTTTTTTATTCAACTCAAAGTTTGTTTAAAACTATGCGAAAATGCAGCAATGTAGATGTGTGGTTGTCCTATGTATTACATATCATTTCATTTTGATATCCTAAACATTTATTTTTTTCAATAATCTTCTTCTTTTTTTCATATCGAGGATATTCGAAAAATGGGCCAACGCACTCAAATCGAATATTTTGAATTTAATTTATACGGTCAAATAGGTAAGAACCTTTAGGAATAATTGGGGTACTGTTTAAATCAATCAATTAGTAAATCAAGAATAAGAACGAAATGTTCATCTGATTGAGGCATTTTATACTTGATCATTGAAATTTTTGAACAACAGAGCAGTTTTATCTATAATAAATACTGAATTTTAATGTTTGTATTTGAAAAGTTTAAATAATTGTCCATACAATCTTAATCATCATGTCATGTCCAGTGCTATGAACACTTTCTGATAAAACAGTTACCGTTCAAAAAACATAGACTAGAATTTCACAAAAAGCACACACATAAATATCTTCGATTTCACTATGTTCAAAAAAATTCCTATTATCATTTGCATGTTTTAATTGACTTACATATGTTGACTTATAAGAGCATTCAACAGGTTGAAACAGATCATCGCACGGCAGATGGTGTATGCATACCAGGAGATGCTTACCATGTCGACACACTCTGTCTTGCTTCTGGTGCAGTTCATTGATTTCCTTCATGTAACCTTAATGTGACTTTTCTTTGTCGGTTTTCGATATTTTAACATCAGTAAACTACTATCCCCTTAATGCATCAAATTGTAAATACCAAACAATCCCTTGATGAAACGAAGATGAAGATTCTCGTATCTTTTCATCACAAACAACACGGTATGAAATCCATGTTTTACAGGGATAATCGTTTGGCTCTGCAGGATGAATATATTCGTTCTAAATGTGGACATTTTATTGGAGTGCCAAGTTTTTTGCACGTTAAGACGTCTTTGGTCGTTCGGTAGGTTGGCTGTTTGAATGTCACATTTCCTTTCCTATCCACAATAACATAAGTCTATTTCACGCGGCAGTCGATATTTTGTCCTTTTTCAGGGTAAGTATATTTTAGAACATACTAGTACATTTTTGATTTATTTATCGTCAAACTTTTATCTGGTAAATATGCATGAAATACTTATACGGAACACAAACAAACAACAATCAGTTAATAAGAAAACAGCCTTGTTTTCTCTGCTTCATATTATACATTTCTTTTTTTAATCTAGATTTCTATTCGTTTGCTAATTTTGTTCTATTGTAAGAACAAAGTGTCCTCCTTTCATCATGATAAGAAGATCATAAAACTACTATGTGAAAAAGGGAATGAGTTCATACTTAACGAAGTTTCTCTTAAAAGAACTTATTATAGATATACAAACTTTCCCAATTGGCACTTGAACAGTAAATTATATCCTATTTCTACAAGTAACCTGAATCTGACAGGTAAAAAAAAAATCAGTCATTTTACAAAACGATAAAGTATTTTACGTCTTTTTATATAATACCTGTCAAAGTTAGGCATTTTATAAATAATCTTAAAATCAGTTGTTTAACAAAATGCCTTTATCTAGAAAATGCCACTAACTCATAAGAATAACCTTTAAAATCTAAATTTCACAAATCCTCTTTAGGATTTAAAAGATAAAAACAAATATCGGTCTAAAACTAAATGGAAGTTCGATTGATACAAGCCAGGTGGAAACCCAGTTGAAATTAAACAAAAGAAATAGAAATCTTTGTAATAGAAGGCAAAAAAGGCGAAGTAAGTAAATTTTAACTGTTTGCATCTGTTTCTATGGGGTTTAAAAGTTTAATAAATATGCTTAATTTAGGATTTTTTGCATCATATGTATGTGTTTTTATTTAAATTGTTGAATTTTGTTTCTCGATATTTGTAAACTTTAAAATTATGGACATATTTTCACAAAACAGTCGATTGTGGTAGGTGCAAATTCTCCAGGATCTATTTTGTGCATTAGAATAAATTGTAAGGAAAAAATTCCAAAGAAAGATACTAGGAATAGATTTATCCTCTTTAAGCACCAAATTGCCTCAGTGCCTCCGGTAACAGTTTTTCGGGAAATGTCCCCAGAATAGGCAATAATTTCATCGAAAAAAGAAAGTCTAGTAACCCCTTTGAGGTTCAGGCATGTTTGAGTTGACTTTTCTGTATTGAAAACGTATAAAAAAAATATTTGATATATCATCTCGCTTCCTATGAGTCATTAAAACAGAGTAACAACCGATCAGCCCATAGTTTGTTAACAAAAAATGATCAAATGCATAATAGTACATTAAATGATGCTTAATAGCTATTAGATACATTTGTCTTTTAAAATAAAACTTGCACATACGGATCGTAATGATACTAAGCGGATAAATTCATCGGTTTTCAAGAGCTAAATTGACATCATCACTACAATGGCTTCCATTTGTACGATTGTAAAAATTAGGTGGCGTAATTAGGAGATAATTTCAACGAAGTAAAAAAAGCCCTATCTGGTTGTTACTGAATTCAATTCACACGCTTTTAACTTATACATGACAAACTGTGTTCAATGACAGTATTGTAAACACTTAAAATATTAAGAAATGTCTAGAGGAAAAATTAACTTCATGCAAACATATTAATCATAAATTTTTTAAGTATTTTATTTCAATTGCAAAATCTACAATGGTGAACAAAAAGGTTATCGACACTATTGTTAACAAATAAATCCACAGAAAAGGGATTTTTCTTATTTATTATTAATCATGTTAACACTGAAAATTCCTAATTCAATTATGATTTGAAATAACTATACATTACATGTATTTGAATTAAAGCCCTCATTTCCAGTCGCAACTGAGCTCTTCCCAGTTGTTTTTTTTTTAAAAATGGTGGACTAAGAGTAACCGAAAGAAGTAAAATCAAAGGTAAACCTAGGGCAATCTAGGGGGACAGGTTACTGTTTTCTGATGATTTTGTCGTGTATAGAAAAAATACAACAGTAACTGTTAATTTTCCGTCTAAATTCCATTGTAAGTTTAATTTTATTTCTTTAAGTTGCACTTACTTAACCGAGTACCAGGATGTCATATCGCAGAGTAGATACCCTATCGAAAAAACATGAACTTCCTAGTCAAAAGTCGGTAATATGAAAATAGTCCATTACCAAATTAGTTTCTTTCTGCCTTCTAATTAAGTAGGCATACACAAGTTTGAGTAAGATTTTCAATTTCATGCTATGTCGAATAACTAAGGGTAAAAGACTTAGAATTAGTTGACATATTACATGAAGACAGCGTTGCTTGGGATGTTTTCTGGAAACACAGTCAGTTCTTTCGAATCACAATATACGTTCACAGTATCTCCATCTAAAGTACAGGTACAGTTGTTTGGACATGCTACAACCATGTCAGCAGAGACTACAACCATAAGTAGACCAAGTGCTACATTACAGTACATCTTCTTCATTCTAAAAGAAATAAACAGTAATTTACACTTTGACAAACAATTCTTTAAATAGTAAAATTGGTCAAATCATTGATATGTTTTTAAAACTTCACAAATATATCTTTACAAAAACTAACAATATCAAAATTATCATGATTGAAAGCTTTCAGAATAATAGGAAATTATATATGCACTATCCCATAAAAGTAGCATAGTTAATCTGATACAAAGTGAGTAGTACGTTTTGTTTAAATTGACATTTTATAGTTAAATACTGTAAAATATGCGATTTTGATACAAAATGATAGTTTACAAAAGTCATGGTCGTTAGAGACATTATTAGGTAGCTACGTCAAACCATTTTGAGCAAATATTGACAAAAAATATTGTAAATCATTGCATATCACTACAAACCTTTTTAAATTTATTATCTTAAAAGAAAATATTCTGGATATATTTGAATACGAAACAATTATTTTTGGTGTAAAAACTAACTAAAAAGCAAATGATAATTTAATCGAATATTCAAATCAAAGTTGGTTTAAAACTATGCGAAATTGCAATTTAGATAGCGTGTTTCATACGGTACAAAATATGGATTTTAGCCTTCCAAATACTAATGAATTTGAACAACTGATAAATCAATGGAAATAATTCAGCATATGCATCCTAAAGTTTAAAACCCAATATAATCAATTTCGAACAATTATAAGTCGCTGGACACATAATAATGTTCTCAACCTTTTTTGGGGGTGTGGGGTGGGTGTGGGAGGAGGTGGGGGGTGGGGGTGGTGAGGGCCCTATTTTGAACTAAACAGAAAATGATATCAAAACAATAGAGCACTCTTTGTCATCCATATAAAAACCTCCGCTTATTGTAAAATTCAATAGATTTTTAATAAGATTTTGTAAGACTGTCTACATTTGAGATACATTATCCCTTTTTATGGAGAAAATAAAAATCACCTCGATTATTTTGGAGACTTTCACTGAGTAATAGTTAATTATAAGAAGCCGCAAAATATATTGAAGAAGATTTGGTTTCGGTATATTCTTGCTGGGTTTTCATTTTTGTATGTTTCTTTATTTATTTATAATTTGAGATGATATTTAGCTTATCTTGTATCTATAGAGTTTCCTCTTTTGAATAAATAAAGAGAGTCTTTGTATATAGCTTCTTTTGCTGTGGTGTGCATCAGTCCTGGTGATATTCAGATGAATGTAACAATATGGATTTCATTCTTGAAAGGGCTGTATGTTAGTGTCACTAGTTTTGTCCATGTAATGGTTTTGCACGAAAAATACACCAACAAGGTTTAGACGGTAAAAAGTCGGCTTATTTTTTAACCATGTGTGAGGCTTAATATGTAAGTTAACAAGTAAGGGTTATATGTTCTATAAGCCTCTCAATACATTTATGATACTGTTTGTATACATTCAATCAACACAATTATCTTAGATAAATAAAACAATTCCTATGATTTAAAATAGAATTTACATTCAAATACAAAAAAAAAGATAAGAATAAAAGACTTACATACGTTTAGATCATCTATCATCTATTTTATTCAACATTTATGTATGAAATGGTCGTTTTGTGCTTTTTTTTATTTATATCTTAGCAATAAAGCTATTGGCCAACACGCAGGAATGTGAAATGAAAGTAACAAATAGTTATTTGATTAAGTGCGGCGTACATTTCAAAGTTACTCATTCATGTCATTTTTGACTTTTAAAAAACAAATTCTTACTTTTTTTTTGTTGTTGTCCTTTTGTGATTGATAATTTTCGTCTTAATTGTTTATTGTCTGAATTCAAAACATCTGCTGTTACAGTGTGCTTAAAAATATTGTACATGATATTCTAATGTATGCAATTCATATTTTATACAATTCCTTATGAAACCGTTTAATGCAACTAACTTTAGAGTACAAATAAAGATATATTGACAATATATTATGAATATGCAAGGATAGTCAATTGTATCTAATAATTGAATCCCGACCAGTAATATTACGGCACAATGTCAAGCTCAAGGAAACAAAACTGAAGATAATTCAGGAAGTTAATAAACCCTACTTCAACGCGTCGTTGTATCTTAACAAAACGATAATTTTATCACAGAAGTGTTTTGAGAAAAATACATGACAACGGTTTCATTTTGCGCACTAAATATTGCATTCCAGTGAATTTATCAAATAAAATCCCTTGAACTTTGCCAGAGAAAAGACCAAATATGCTGAAGATACGTGGAGATTATTTTTAACTGTACTTTCATCCTTAAAGACATGATGCAGTTCCTAATATATAAAAAATAGAATATGCAGTATAATAACCAGCGACAACACTACAGGCTTTTTACAAATAACCGTTTATTTATACAGCTATAAGTCGCCGTTTGGCCTCCAACAATGTAACATTTTGTGTTCTATAGTTTACATGTGATCACGTTTTAATGAACATTTTTTTGGAAAATAAGCAAGTGTTGTTTTAGTTGCCAATGAGACCACTTTCCACCAGAGACCAAATGATATAGAAGTTAGCAAATAAAGGTCGCCTCAAGGCCTTTAACAATGCGCAAAACTCAAATCATATATTAAGCTAAAAAAAGGCATAGGCAGGAAAAACTATAAAACGAGGCAAACAATGGACTGATTCATGTACAAAACATTTAAAAAAAAAAAAACAAAAAAAGAACAAAATGAAAAGACCAACCAACTAATTATAGACTCCAGGTTTTGAACAGACTGATACTGAATGTGGCTGAGTTAACATGTTTGCAAACGCAAAATTCTTCCGAAAAATTGATACAGTGGTGTATCATTACAATATACATGTAAGAACACACAACACAACTGTGTAATGATTATCTGTTGAACTGAATAATGTCAGAAATATATCTAATTTGGTATATGTGTCTTACTCACCAATCTGAAAACAATTAAAAATTTATTTACAGTTCATGGTTTTGAAGAGCAACAACACAATCAATCTCATATTCTTTATTCATATGCTGTTCCAATTAAACTGTTAACATAGTGTATATCTATGTTAGCCATACAGTTTCACCATTTTTTTTATTGAAAATATTGCAGTTTTCAAATATCGATATTCTGTTTTTTACAATTGTCCTTTTTTATTGACCGTTTCGTCGACATTGGGATCTTGACATACCTAAATCAACATGATCAACTAAGCCTTCCGTTTTTCTTTTTGTACAGGTCGGAAACCTCTGTATATCTCTGTACCGATGTAAAGCTTTCCCTAAATTTCGGTCAATGATTGTTCTGCCATCTGCGTTTTATTATTGGGAAGACATGTCATCCCAATAATAGAACACAGATGCCAGAACAATCATTGACCGAAATATATACAACTTCTAAAATTTCCACATTTAAAGTTAAAATTTAATTTAAACAAGGTAAACCAACACATGAAGTGGTAATCGAGTGGTAATTGATGGGTGTTGTTGTCTTTATTATCGTTTTATGTATGTAAAACGTGTAATATATATGAAAATGGGCGTTGTAATCTTTTAAAATAGATATTTTACTGAAGTAAACAAAATATACTTTACATAACAATGCTATCTATGGTAACACAATATTTTTTTAAACCGGTTAGGAGTCTGGTATTGCACTTATAAACACTCAACGATTGACAGATTGATTATATAAATGACGGCACAATATGTTATAAAAAAGTTAAATAAAGCTTACTTGAATTGCACGATTCTCTTACATGTACACTATAAATGTGTTATTATATACACTTTCCCCATTTAACAACTACACTTGTTCAAAAGTTTGAAGTATCAATTTACTGGACATAAATCATCAGATTTTTTATTGCACCAGGTTTCCATTTAAATCAGATTAACTGCATGCACATTTACATTTGATGTTGCTGTTCTGTACTTAACTTTATGTCGGACAAAATATCAAATAACTTAATAAAAATCGGTAAATTATTTGTGTTCAGAAAAAGATACAACAAGATATGGCCTGATCCCTAAATGGATACAAACACAATTCATAAGGTTGACCAAATTAAATTGTAAAATCCACAGACGTCTCTGTTACTTTACTTGTATACAGGTATTTCAACATTGAAGATACTTTTGTTCATATAATGCTGCTAGTTGTGTTTATATGTTGTGTTGGTTATATGTATACACTATATAGATAAACTGCCTAGACCGTAAACTGTGCTGTACATTTGTTAATCTTGGGTTACGTTTCACAGTATAGTACTTACCTGCGTGATTTATTAGTGTCCCCAAAACGTCGTTGGACTGAAATGATCGAAATATATCTTGCAACACATGCGTTTTTGGACCCTTGTTCTATTGTCACAGACTGGAAGGCAAAACACCAGCAAACATTGATTTGTATAATGCCAATAAAATTATAAATAAGATTATAGAAGCCCAAGCAATATTCATTGTTATATTTGCTGTGCACAGTTTACTGACCCATGTAATTTTATTTGAAGTTATCTGTCTTTCTATTACTGTTATAGTGTGCAGGTAATCGTAGAGGTTTGTTGTAGCTTTAATGTTTGTATGGGTATGTAATGCTATAAGGTTGATGTTTTTTAGTTGCAATCTGTTTAGTTTGATGTGGATGTTAAACCTGGTTGTGCTAAGGTGTGCGGGGAGTAAAACCCAGCTGCACAATAAATAATTGTTTTTATAAATCGACTGCGTCAAAGTCGAATGTGGAATGTTTATTCCATTAGTTTTCAAATGTCTCCTTTATAACATCCTTATATTATCGATTATATTCTTCAAGATTTAAAAAATGGTGCATGGAATCCCGAATATCACACTTTGTTACAATCCTAGTTTAGACAGACGAGGAAAGACATAAATTGACCAAAACTACACCATATAGCCTATCTTGTCGAGTGGCTCAGACAAGGCAGTGTTATCAAGATGTCAAAGTTGTAAGGAATCGAGTCCTATGTAAGAAAGTACATACATTTGGTACGATAAATTTGCAGGTATTTGTTATGCTTGATTGAAATAAATGTAAATGCATATATTTCCAAAAAAATATCAAAATATGGTACGATTAATTAACCAATACTTAAATGCAAATGTAATGCACAAAGTGAAATATTACTGCTATTTGACCCAAACACAGAACTATGTGTTTTCTTAATGCCGATAATATGCATTTAATTGTAAGTAAATAAAGAAAACTGTAAGTAAATGTATGAAATTGGTTGGTATACTATGGTATGTTGGTTTTTCTTTGTGTTGTTTGGTTGTCTTTTAAATAATGCATTCTATTCCTATTATTCCTATTTTTTCTGCCAAACAAGAGAATTGAATCTGATTTCGGTGAGAAATATATAAAAAAAAAAAAAATGACCTTTCTGAACATTTCCTTATATGCAAAATTTTATCAATAGGTCACTTGACTATGGAATATTGTTTACGGAAATAAAAATTTAACAGATCTGCACTGTAAAAGGACAAATAAGCTTTAACGAACCTTTTTGACTCACAAAGAGTTCATTTTTGACAATCTTTTACTTCACTTACAGTACTCAGCATTGATGCATATTTATGTAAAATTTATGATTTACCTATATCATTCAAAATCGTTCTCTAGTTGAATGTTTCTTCAATAGACTATCGTGAGGGAATTAAACATATAAAATTAACATATTTTCACTTATTAGACGAACAAACACACACTTACTCGCATTTTTATAACACGAAAATATAATCATCTTTAATCTCTAGTTATAACTGAAAATTACAACTCTTGTAATATACCTGGTACGAAATCTCGTCTGAAGAAAAAAAAAACGGTGATCGTTCATTCCATCTCCAAAATTTTGTCCATCAATGTGCAAATGTACAGGATACCTTCTAGCTTTCTTTATATGTGAAAATCGTTTTAACTTATGTAGCATCCACACATTCTCCCATAGATAAAAAAACCATTAGAATACCTTTAACCTGTAGACAGTTTTATTGCCAAAAGGTTCATACATGTTGTCAATAAGAAATTTAAAATGATTTCTACGTGAGAGGATAAATGCAATGTGCGGCAACTAGGAATGTTCTGCATAACTGTTTGCATTGATGTACTTGGAATTTCCATGTTAATCAGAAATGATTACTCAACAAATTAGATGGTCCTTTTCGGGATCTTTATCTTTAGACTCATGACTAGTCGTATAGTTTGTAAATTAACCTTTTTATTGTGTCTTATTTCAAATTGTTCTATTTTGATTTAGTGTGAATTTGAGTGGCGGGTAATGATTGCATAGAAAAAACGCTTATATAGATGCATGAAATCAGAACATTGTTAAACTACTGCTATTTGAAATTTAACATTGAATCCTTGTTAAGACTACATAAAGGTACATAATGTTATTTTGATGAGGAAACATACACGTTCGTACATATCTGAGTTGGTGTGTTGTTATCATTAATTAGTTCTGACTATGGACACTTATAAATGCCGTATTACGTAGACTAGAAGGAAACATGATATCTTAAATATTGAATAGATTTCGCGACAAACGGTTCTAAATGGAGAGGAGCGATACAGCTTGGATGGTTTACAAGTATTATACCATTTGTGAAAATTGGGGTCGATTTTGGTGCTTATTGCCCCTATTACTTTCAAATGACATCATCCTTTTTTTCAGCAAATTGCTTATCAATGATTTATGAATTATTGATCAATTTAGATAACTCGCATTTGTTCATAGTGTTTCTTTCTTTCTACTCTAATATCACACACGGATGGTCACTCTGCATTCTTAAAAGCATGCCACTAGCAAAATGATATTCTAAGCATTATTACTCATCTTCCTCCCAAAGTACAGCTGTTGTTTATTTCTTTCAGTTTGTTTGTATATTCCTTTTCTTCTTGCTGTTCATTCTCTTTTTAGTGTTTTCGTTATTCCTTTTCTTTCGTATTTTCCTTTTTTTTCTATTTTCTATGTGCCTCCTTTTCCATCTATTTTACATTTTATCGAACTTTACGGATATCAAAAAGTAAAATCACAAAAATTCTGAACTTCGAGGAAAATTCAAAATGGAAAGTCCCAAATCAAATGGCAAAATCAAAAGCTCAAACACATCAAACGAATGGATAACAACTGTCATATTCCTGATTTGCAAACAACTGCAAAGTTTTAAAACTTTTTGTATTTATTATAGGAATATCTAAAGAGTTATATGTATTGAAACAAACTATTCATTACATTTACGGACAAAAAATAAATAAAGACGGTTAGGTTATCTACCAAAATCGAATTGGAACTCAACTTGGCACATATATTTTTTCGAATTGACTGCTGTCAGTGCCATGACGCCTTTTGTTAAGTCAAACAGCATTTATTCATTTTTGACTTCAATTTTACGAGCCAATCAATTAAAGTCTACTCACCGTTTCATATTCCACATTGTTATTTGATGAACTAGGAGACCGCAATGGTTAAGGAAAATATCATTGGTACAAAATATTTTGAAATCAAACCCACAACTCCGTTATTAATAGATTGAAAATGTGGGAATCTTCCATCTGTGAGATAATCCGATTAACGATTTAATGTATGGCATGAATGGAGGAACAGAATTAGGTAAATATAAGAGACATTGAATATTAAATGCTTAACCGTGACACCTTGAGCAAGATCAAAAGCTATTCAAAAACTTTCGTTATGTTTTTAAAGGGTTTTATAACTAATTCCTGTTTATTCATATTCTGTCAAAAAAAAAAAAATAATTACAAAGACCTGCTGCCGATGAAAAGACTAACGCTTTTTATGACTTAATAATGATACATGTTGAGTACATGTTGAGTATTGTAGAATATGATATTGAATGTACTGGAATACCATTATAAAAACAAAGGAATAAAACTTTTTTGAACATAAAACAATTCATATCGAGGGTTCCAGAAATCAAATGGCAATGTTTAAATTATTACACATAACATTAAACGTAAAGCAACACGAAATGAGTAATTAAGAAGGGTGAAGGAAATTCTAATAAATAGAATCTATATTGAGGTGGAAGTCATCATGTTGAAAATAAAGTCCACTAAAAATGGTTTCAGAGAAATGTGCTCTTGTATCTAGGTAAACTGCTGGTTATGCAAGATGACAAGTGGAACTTGGAAGAAGCAATATTGAATTAATTACATTTACATTTTGCTGGTGTTAGACCTATGTTATTCATTAAAATCTTTCATATTTCATTAAGTTATCCCCTTTCAAATATATTCACTCTTCGATGAATATTGGTCAAGCATTCGTTAAATGATGTCAGAGAAATACACGTAAACAAGAAGAACGACAGATTGAAGTACTTCACACTTGTACTTATGGACATATAAGATAGTGGGAATTGTTAATTAAAACATGGTTGGTCCCTTTGGCTGTAGTCGTTCGTCTTTATTCTATTTTTTTCACTACAAAGAATTATTGTGAACGATTACCGAAATCTGCAGTTTTTCTCAAGTGGCGAATTGAGAAATTCCTCAAATGGTCAATAATTTGACATCAGATTTAAATCATGTATTTGGTTTATACTTAGGTATATTGTATGATGAACATAAACACAAAGTACATAATTTACATTATTAATATTGAAATTAACTGTTGACACAGAGATATGTCACGTTTTTATTTAATTTTGATAGTAAAATGCTACGGTTAAAACTATAATGGCAATACTTTAGGATCTTAGCTATCCATAAAATTTAAAGTCAATGAACAATGACTGTAGATGAAGGTCCAAATAACCTCCTTGATATAAGTACATGCTAATATAGCAACATACCAATGACTATTGACTTATTACAAGTTGTTCCCGGTAAACTGACCGAATCACAAACATTAACTTCTAAGCTAAGGAAAAGTTTCAAAGTCAATAGACCATACCTAAGGGGGCGGGGCCAAATAATCTCCATGGAAATGAGATGTGCCAATGATTATACAACTTAAGATTACTATCACTAGATGATCTTTTTAAACTGGCATAATCACAAACTAATGCATGTACATTATTGAATACATTGCCACCTGCCACAGCATGCCTGAGTCTCGCTTTTGCGATTTCGTCGAGGAGAGACAATTTGATATTTTTCTCTTCTATATTCCTTACGGCATCTAATCTTTTAACTGTTTAAAACTGTTTAAAATCGTAAGTCATTACTTTGAACAATGCTGTCTGTAATGGAGATTTGTTTTATGTCACGTTTCCCCAAAAAAATTGCGCGTCTAAGACAGAACAGATTGTGATTATTTCTTTAATGTAAATGATATGTCCGCTTATAATTTCGAAAGAAAATGTTGAACTGTAACCTATTGCTCGACAATGATACCCTCTATAAGCATCCGGTAAACAGTTAGTTGACGAGCAATGGATGTGAGAATGCAATACTAGGGATAGCATGCTCATATAAAGCATATTTGCAAATTTGTAGTTCTATAGAAAAATGTGACAAACATTGCATATATGTGTAGGAATATATTTGACTGCTCAGTCACGGTAAACAGGAAGTTATATTATTGAGTGATAATTATGAAAACGTATCATACAGTAAATAAAGGCAACAGTAGTATACCGCTGTTCGAAATTCATAAATAGATTGAGAAAAAAACAAATCCGGGTTACAAACTAAAACTGAGGGAAACACATCAAATATAAGAGGAGAACTACGACACAACAGAAACACAACATTAAAATGTAACACACACAGAAACGAACTACAATATAACAATGGCCATTTTCCTGACTTGGAACAGGACATTTTAAGAAAAAAATAGTAGGTTGAACCTGGTTTTGTGGCTAGCCAAACCTCGCACTTTTATGGCAATGTTAAATATAACACTAAATGACATCATTACATGACATGAATACAGTACAACATTACGGACAGAGAATAACGCAAATAAACAATACAATATAGTACATATGGACAACGAAACAACAGAAACACTGAAGTGAACAAACAACCGACAATGCCACAAACACAGAAACAAACTATACGCTATACGATAACAATTGCCATTTTCCTGACTTGGTACAGGATACTTTTAAGAAAAAAATGGTGGGTTGAACCTGGTTTTGTGACTAGCCAAACCTCCTGCTTTGATGGCAATGTTAAATATAACATTACAATGACAACATTACATGACAGGACTACAATACAAATAATGGGAGAACATAAAGGACAGAGAAACATACGAATAATAGTTAACAAAAGATACCAGGTTTAAAATACGCAAGACGCGCGTTTCGTCCACACAAGACAAACCAGTGACGCTCAGATAAAAAAGTACGAAAGCCAAAACAAGTACAAAGTTGAAGAGCATTGAGGACCAAAAGTTCCAAAAAGTTGTCCCAAATACGGCTTAGGTTATATGTCTGGGATAAGAAAATCATGCTCATACCAGTTGCATGGTACGGACGGACGAAGGACGGACGGATATGAACCAGTTTACCCCTGCCCTTTTCAACGTCTTAATTCTACTATACTTTAACGTATACAAAACATTTGATTAGAAATAAAATTGTTGCTTGACTATATATCTCTATTACACATTGGCAATGTGTACGACATCATATGGTGAAAGATTGTCTCTTCTGACCAGAGTCAGATCCTGATAGGCTTGATGATCTAATTGGATTTCATTTTCATAAACTGCTGAATTTCTTTGATTTGAATTTTCGTGACAATTCTTCAACATCGATTTTCGCCTGTCAAAAATAAAATGTAAAAGTAATATTTTACATGAGAAGTAACATTTTAAATGCGTTTTTAAACCAAGATGGGAGTGAAATTTATATCTGATAGCAGTTAGAAATGATCAACAGCAATCCGTTGTTGATGATTGAACAATTTTGCCATCCGATTCTTCATTTTCTAGATCAATTGTTAAAATTGCAAAAAGGGGAAACACACAGAAGTTGCCCTTAAAAACGAAAAGTCAAACGAAATCTGACAACGTTATAAGCCACAAACACAGAAACAAACAAACCACATGAAAAAAAAGAAGATAAACGACTAACAACGAATGCCAGTGGACGAAAAACGGACATCGGACGCAATTGATTACAATAGCTCACATTGACACTCTTTAAATATACATTCTTATAATACCTTAACTAATAAGTCTAGAAAAATGTATAGTTGTCAAATGAAAAATGATAACACAAATTAAATACACTGACTAAAGTGAACAGACAAAATATTAAATTATACGTTCTTAAAAGTTTGTTTGACATGTTTAAATTGAGCTTCGGAATCTTCTTTTCCCCTGATATTATTTAAATATCAATATACTAGTATACATACATAAATCACATATACATATTACAAGTCGAGGTATAAAGTTTGGAATAGGATCTGACTACCTTTCAGTAGCAGATCAGTTCAACGCGGCTTTTTGTGATGCTTTATGTTTTATTATGTCTCTTTTGTTTTCATGGTTGTTGTATATTCGTATTTTTTCTATTTTGACCTTGGTGTTGTAGTTTTTGTTTCGATATATTTGGTTTTTGGTTTTCCGTTCGAATATTCTGCCGCATTTTACCGGAAGTTCGTTCAGTTCATTCTTACTTTGTTTAATTATCAAAAAAATACAATAAGTTCATATTGTTTGTTTTACTTGCAGTACTTCAAAAGATGTGATCCCTTTCTTCTCTATCAACCAATAAGATAATGTCGATCCTATTTGAAATTTTAAAACAATACGCGGTATGCCAATAAACGGTTGTGACTTCTACAATACTGATTGTTTTATGAACAGTCTTTCTAAATGTGTACTTGTATATTATATTGGTTCCTTCGAAAAGAAACCTTAATTAAGAGAATGGCAACTTTAACATGAATGACGAGTTTTCAATCAAAACAAAATATTTTGCTAAGCAAATGTCATAATCTTTTTAAGTTATATCTAGCTTTGTGATACTACATATACATGGAATTTACACTCGACTTAATTAACACGTACTGAATAAACAAAATGACAGCTGCAATGATAACTATCAATCCTACAATTCCAGCAACTACACCGATCAAGACAGTATCTGCAATAGCAAAATAAGAATCAGATGAAATGGAATTTGAAATATCTCCGCCATTAATACAACAATTATTCTATTATTCATTATCAAACCATATCATGCTAAACACATTAGAATAACACGCACACGCAGAAAGACGTGAGGTAACAATTTGTAATAAAATGAATTGACTGAGCAAATAGAAAGTATATCGGATCTATTGTCTTAGAAGTTTACATTTTGTTAGGTTAACATAATCCAATATTTCTAGGTCAGTATTTTCTACAGTGATCGAGGGAATAAAAACGCATTTTTTTCTATCATTTTTAATAAATACTTACTAGTACTTCTTTTGTATCCATCTTCTTTTGAAACTGAAAAAAGTTTTGATATGAAACTATTTTTTATATATGAATAATAGTCCATCAGATATATTTAGTTATGTCTATCAGTGCAATATTCTTAATTGAGAAAATTCTAATTATTGTGTGTTTCTATTTTCTCGGCAAGGATAATTTTTCCATACATGTAAGAACAAGTACAAACAAAAACGTTGTATGCAATCAATGTATCTGTTTTATAGTCAAACAAGGAAATACCAAAAAAAAAATAAATAAATGGGAGATTTAGTACTAAAACAAAAAATACACAAAACGGTTTATAGACGCTGGTTTCCGACGGTATCCTATGATTAATACATTTCGTAGACGATCCTAGGACATATCGTTGTCTTAAGTGAGTTTTTTTTCAAAAGATTTTCAAGTTAAGATATGTGAAATTATTTATAGTAAAGCAAGGACATCAAAGTATCTCTATTAAGATATGTCATTTTCAGCCATACCAACACCACAATAATTATGCCGTATTTGACATTTAGTTATAAAAATCAGAAGATTAGGTATGATTGCCAATCAGACAACTCTGCATTAGAGAACACACGATATAAAAGTTTACAATTCTAGGTCACTATACGGCCTTCAACAATGAACCTTTTAGGTGATATCAGATAAGACACTGTCATAGCATTTAAATTTTTAGTTTGGCATATTATAAATATTTGTTATCCGTTAGATAAATTATCATGGAATTATCGTGAAAGGCTAAGATACATAACCTGTCTTACGATTCAAGCTGAAATTGTAAATGTATAATATATAGAGCTATTGCCACTGATTGTCACAAAAGCATACACGGAAGAATTAATTACGCTGCATACATGAATATGCATATGTATGACGTTTTTGACTATTCATAAATATAGGTCTATATAAATGATTGTCGGTTGCTCTACCTAAGTTTCTAAAAATAGTATCAAAACATTTCTTAAAGTAAACTAAATGTACTTCCTATATATAATAAAGAAGAAAAAAATGCTTTTAAATAGTTATTACTAAGATTATTCATCAGACCATACATTCTGGGAACATAAGCGCAAAACAGATTTTTTTTTTTTGGGGGGGGGGGGGGGGGGGGGGTGGGGGGGGGGATTCTTGCCGCTGAATTTTTAGTTCTCTTTGTCCAGTTTTGAGGGCTGTTCTTTGTATTTTAGTCTTTTTCGTTTTGGCAATTGTATTGTCGGTTAGTATTCAAGTTATGAATTTTTGTTGAAGTATTTTACCTGTTTTACTATTTTTTTTTTAACTTAAAGTCAGTAAGAAATACACAAAATTTTCCTCCGAACAAATACCCTCTAAAAAAAAAACAGCACACGAAGCATGGTGTATTTATTTTTACTAAGCACATAGAGATTGATATGAGCTACATAATATGAATTCAAATCTGAAAGAAAATTAGTTAAATGTGTTTTACGAATTAAGTTAGAATAGCTTCAAAATTAAAAAAAATAAATAAAAAACAACAACAAGTAACTAGTAAACGAAATGGTGTCTATATTTACATGCTGTTATTTCTGTTGTTACTCCTGATGTAGTAGATTCTTCCTGTGCATAAGTCAGATGAGTTGTTGAATCTAAAGTATTGAAAATAAATGTCATTGATAATTTCTGTGTGTAATTTGACAGTATTTGTACATAATTACGTAAGTCAACCAGAAACAGATAAAATTGGGCCTATCTAGATTTTTAGGGGGAATCTATAAAGGTTCCTATCTTATACTTCTCAAAATAAACGGAATAAAAAAGGAGGTTTGTTATCACCACAAAATTTAAATCTAGCTCCAAAAATGAATTTCATGAGGATTCCCTTGTAACGTGATGGATGTTATCTACTCTTGTTTTTGACTTTTTGTCAGATATTCGGAATCCTCTAGTTTTATCAATGTAGTGAATATACAAATTTTGCCCTCTAACCCCTACTTTCTTTTCATTATTTGATTACATATAGTTTTAAAATTCATTTTTTAAAATCTTATAAAATCCTTGTTATTTTTTCATAGATTTTGAATAAAAAGGTGCAAATGTAAAATGCTTGAAAACTCTAGAGAGAATCGTTCCCCGCCATATTTTCTATTAATTATGTATCGAAAACAAGCAGACACATCCATAATTATTTTCTGCTTTTTTAGTTCTTTTATTTATATACTCAATTCAAAACAGTCTTTTCAAAAGCTTGTTATTTTGAAACATAAACTTCCTTAAGTAGCAAACATCCTTAAGAAAAAGTAGTTAGTCCATACTTCGCATCATATGTTCAACATACTTATCTTCAGCACGACTGAGCTTCAATTTCTCTTCATACATAAAAATAATAAAACGATACGATTGTTTGTGCCTTGTATTATTTTATAATCTACTTTGAACAATAGGACAGTTACTCGATTAGACATTGGACATTACCGTACAAGAGCAACTCGATAGTCAGTACATTTAGATTACTTTAACGCGATCAAAAACAACTCCGATCCGTGACTGAATTCAATTTATATGTCTAAGTTTAGCCGGGATTTTGGTATTTTGTATTGTCATCTTAAGAAGTTACGCAGTGAAGAAGATGGACAGTTTTCTTTGCTTGAAATAGGATCTTGTCTACACTAGTCCTTGTTTCCTTTTTTTTTTAATCAACAACAATATTGCACATGATATTAATAATTACTCCGGATCTGGACACAGCTATCTCAGTGGAGGTCACCGTTTCATTAGTTCTAGAAATCCAGGGAATTGTATATGTCATCTTAGATTAGGCTTGTTGTTTATAAGCTATCATCAATTCAATGTTTCCGGTTAACGGTTGTTTTGTAATCATTTTTGGAATATATTGTGTATTAGCTATATCTAGATTATTAATCAGGTAGGTCAGTTATAATTTAAAAGGTTGATAGTCAAACTGTAACCAACAAGAACATACATGGTGCCAGATCATATAAATATATCATTGTTCAAGTACATGAAAATTGAATAAAACTCACACAATTAAGTGATAAATTAATCAATTAATGCACAAATTAACTGTACTATCAAATGATATAATTCAAGTACATCTAAATATATTTGTTTTTCTAATATAACTTTTCTTTCAGTGTATTGAGATTTGTTTTGTAGAATTTACCAGTTTTTAACCAGATTTCGAAAAGAAAATATCGCTAATTAATTTTACTTAAACAAACTTTCAAACAATCTATTTATCTTGCAACTGAAATCGGATATCTTAATATAATCAAGGTACTAGTATAACAGTGATAATAAATGAAACAAATGGCCAAAAAACTTCAGACTAATTCGCCAACAAGTAATTTGGGGGGAACTAGTTGTGAAACTTCAAAACATTTCATAACTGACTGAAAAGCAATATCATTTATATAAACGATATTATTGTAGAAAATGGAAATATTTTAGAAAGTTTTATGAGATAAAAGCTAAAAAATAAAAAAAATGTATTGATGAGTTTTTCAGAATTCAAAAAGCTATACCAACAGAATTATTAATATATAAGTTGAAAACTGTTCATGAAAAACTATTGTACTAATAAATTATGTGTTGTATATTTATGACAATGATAACTGTAATCTCAATATAAATAAATTAGAAACAAGTGAAATTGATAAAACATTAATAGAACAAGATATAGCAATACAAATTGGTTTTAACAAGTGGAAGAGACCACTTAATTTAAAAAAACCCAGAGACTATAAAGCCCAAGATATACTAAAATTTGTTTTGAATCATTTGAAAGAAAATAGTTAAAAAGTTTTAAAATGGAAACTCGTACATTTATTTTTTTCAAAAAGATAGACAATTTGTTCTTACTCTTAATGTAATCACTGTAAAATTGCAGATGATTATAAGCACCTATTTATTACATGCCACTTTCTAGATAACTTTATGGAAGAAATATATAATCCATTAGAAAAAACTAAGCTTTGAAAATAATTTAACTTGGAATCATTTAATTTGGGTTTACAAAATAAATGATGCACACTACTATAATATCAGTTATTTACTCATAGTGCTCTTGTTTTCACTACACAAAATACATAATCTGAATATCTGAAAATAGGACATAGAATATCAATGCATTTTATGTATTTAAAACAGAGTTTAACATGTTTAAACATTGTGACTTGGATTGACAGTTGCCTAATTTGTACTAATATTACATCTTCTTAGTTCTATTAACAACAGCACGTCATACATTACACGAAAAGAGCATAATCCGAATCATGCTAACAACTGGTTATAGAATAAAAGTGTTTATTACCGATGTAAAGACCCTATGAGCAAATAAATATTAATTCAAAAATCGTCAACTTTCATGACTTGACAACAGTGTCTTAACTATATACCTTGTGAATTAGTCTGTTTTAATTTTTTTTTGTAGCTCTTGAAGTGAATGACGACATTTGTGTTTGTATAGAATATAGCCCTTAAAGATGGAATGTGAAAAACCTGAAAATATAGGATGTCTGCAATTTTATTCCTTGTAACATTAATAACATTTTGTAAAATAACAGGAACGGGATCAATTTTAATGCACAACATGCGCATTTCGGCAATTCTTATCTCTTCATTGATGCTCGAGACCAAAATATTTGAATAGCCAAAATCTATTACAAAAGTTGAGTGCGGATCATGAGGGAGATATATTCCGTAATTTAAAATTATTCCAACAATTTTATGACGGCAGATTTTTATCAAACAATATCCGTATTTTTATGCCAGAACCGAAGTACTGAATATTGGGCTGGTGATACCCTCAGGAACTAACAGTCCACCAGCAGATGTATCTACCCAAAGGTAGTAGTTACATAAATGGGACCAATTTTAATGCGTCAGATTCGCATTTCGAAAATTAATGACTCATCAGTGTAGCTCGAAGCCAAACTATTTGAATATTCAAAAAATTACGATATCGAAAACCCTGGTATAATATTTTTTCAGTAATACAGAGATTTCTTTCTCTAAAACCAAAAACGTTGTTACTCGTACTGTGAGAAACAAATTTATTTATTTTGTAAAAAATGTTTCCGTACTCCTAACAACAAAATTATTATATTTAAATTTACCTGTGTACATAATTTTATTTAACGCTATTTTGTCCCGGGTTAGAGTTGTCTTTTGACATGGTTTCCTAGATCTTTTTTTTATATTACTATTTCATTTTTAATGTGTCATAGATCAAATTTATTCGTTCAGTGTAGGTTTACTTGTTTTTGTTTATATGTCTTTTTGATCGGATTAAGCCATTTTGATTGATATTTTCTAGTGTGTCTTTTTATGTTGTAATGTTACACTTTTGTTCCAGGTTAGGATGAAGGTTGGCGCCTGTTAAAACGTTTAAACCAGCTGCATTTGTATGCACCTGTCCTAAGTCAGGAGTCTGTCGTTCAGTGGTTGTTGTTTGTTGGTGTGGTTCATAAGTGTTTATCGTTTCTCGCTTTTTGTATAGATAATACAGTTGGTTTTCCTGTTTGAATTTTTTTACACTAGTCTTTTTGGGGCTCTTTATAGCTTGCTGTTCGGTGTGAGATAAAACTCCGTGTTGAAGATCGTACTTTGACCTATAATATTTTACTTTTTATACATTGTCTCATTGGCACGCATACCAAATCTTCTTATTTATTTTTACATACACGAGCAAATCGAGCAAGTTGAGATATATAAATAAAGGCAACAGTAGTATACCGCTGTTCGAAATTCATAAATCGATTGAGAAAAAAACAAATCCGGGTTACAAACTAAAACTGAGGGAACACATCAAATATAAGAGGAGAACTACGACACAACAAAAACACAACATTAAAATGTAACACACACAGAAACGAACTATAATATAACAATAGCCATTTTCCTGACTTGGTACAGGACATTTTAAGAAAAAAAAATGGTGGGTTGAACCTGGTTTTGTGGCTAGCCAAACCTCCCGCTTTTATAGCAATGTTAAATATAACATTAAAATGACAACATTACATGACAGGACTACAATACAAATAAATGGGAGAACATATTGGACAGAGAAACATACGAATAATAGCTAACAAAAGGTACCAGGTTTAAAATTTAATACGCAAGACACGCGTTTCGTCCACACAAGACTAACCAGTGACGCTCAGATAAAAAAAGTACGAAAGCCAAAACAAGTACAAAGTTGAAGAACATACGCTTGTGCCAAATTGATAAGTAACAATAGAAAATTGACAATCATCTCTTTAATCACCCCCAGTTTTTGGTGGGGTTCGTGTTGCTGAGTCTTTAGTTTTCTATGTTGTGTCTTGTGTACTGTTATTTGTCTGTTTGTCTGTTTTCTTTTCTAGCCATGGCGTTGTCAGTTTATTTTCGATCTATGAATTTGACTGTTCCTTTGGTATCTTTCGCCCCTCTTTTATCGTATATTTTATTAATAATAAGATTTCCGTTAGAGATAAAGATATCAAGTCGAAGATAGAATTTACTGACCCCGTATATATCGTATAAGGTCACTTTCACACTATGTAGCAAATAATATCAGCGAATTAGTGTACGGGAAGACAATAATTCAATACCAGCACATTTATGACTATTGTGTTACTATAAAGGATTTTCTTTTACCAGAAAGTTCGCGTACATTTCCTAGCCATTCAAGTATATAAAACATATTTCACTTTGTTTCTAAATTTGAAGTTTCATGACTTTAACGAACCCAAAATGACACAAAAAACAGGTCCCTTACGAATAGTAAGGGATACATCAGAAAATGACCCTACTCCTTTACACGTGGGATATCTAATTCGAAATTTGCCTTCACCTTTATCTCCATGTAAACAGATGGCATATTTTCCAAAAACCTGTACTCTAAGCATACTGACATCCACCAATACCTGTCTCCAATGCTGTTATCTCGACAATTCTGCTAATATAGCCGCTATGAAAGACCCCGATATGTGAAACGATTAACAAAAACACGACCTGATTTATGACAAACAATCGACCAAAATATATATGACGTAGAACAACCAACGATGTTTTGACAAGGTAACTTCATCATTCAGCGGAGTGAAAGATGTTAGTGAGCGCTCAACCCGTCTGCTTACCTTGCATAGTGATGTAACAGCATCGTGTACGAAAAAACTGTGAACATAAATTTTGAGATTTCGAGAGTATTGCATGGTAATACATTGTCCTTTACCGGTAAAAAATTCATTGTACTGGGAAACATTACAACAAAGTGCTGATAGCTGATTATTTTCGTACATTTTCTTAAGTACAAGGACAAAAAATCTGTTAAAAAAGCATCTGAGCGAAACAAAATTCAAACTTGGTCTACAACTTGTCATGGTGAAACTAGTACTATATAAAAAATACCCAATCAATATATTCAAGCATGAAGAAAAAAAAAGTGTGGAAATCTGATTATTTGCGTGAATTTTCTAAGTCAGAGGACGATAACTCTGCAAAATAATGAATAACCATCTGAACCCAACTAGATTCGAACTTGATCTATAACTTGTCATGGTAAGACTATTTATCAAAAATCAAATCAATATCTTCAACCATGAAAAAAAAGTGTGAAAAACTGATTTCTAGCGTGAATTTACTTAGTGAAAGAACCATTACCCTGCACAAAATCATCAGACCGGAACAAAATTCAAACCTGATCTGTTACTGGTCATGATAAAACCATATACCAAATAATAAATTGATACCTTAAAGCATGAAGAAAAAATTGTGAAAAGCTGATTTGCCAGACTGACATATAGACAGACAGAAGGACAGACGAACGGATTGTAAAACATAAAGTCCCCTTTGGCTTTATCGGAAGTTTACTAATAAAGATAAAAAAGAACCGACTTAGGAGTACTTGCAATTACTGAATGCTAGTTTAAAACCAATAACAACTAAATCATGTTCTTTTCGACTAAATAATAAAAACTGATACCGTGCATGGACGTCATAAAGATGTCACACAAATTAGGAGAAAAGCATAGGGTTTGATGTAATGCCAACAAATAAATGTATAATTTCGATAGGATGAAGGACGATACGTTTAAATAACTGTATGATATAACATATTTATGTTAGTTTTAATATATCAAAATCAAAATTAAAGTTTGAATTCTACCTATTAACATGTTCTTATTAACAATCACAGGATAATAAATAAATTTCTAGACAATGAAAAACATAAACAAAAACTAATCATCCAATGGAAATATCATAACATGAATTTCTAAAGATACATGATGCTGTCGAATCGATAAAAACAGAATGCACTGCTGTTCATAAGACGTTTTACATATACGACAATCAACGGAGGAGGTATGATAAGACCCATTTGTTTGCCTCTGATATAATCTTGACACTTAAGCGCAAAAGGTCGCTTGTAATCATGTCGCAATAACCACGTCTTAGTTTAGATATGTTCAAAATTGATATAAGCCAAGACCTTACAAATTTTTAATTACATACATCTGCGTCGTAAAGCAAAGTACATCTAGTAAATATGACAATAATATAAATGCCAACATTACAAAGAATGCTCAATTTTAGCGATTGGTATTGAATTACGTAAATGAATATATGAACAATAATATTTCTGGAATCTGATGCGACTGTCATACAAGTGAGAGGTTTAGCGCTATAAAACCAGGTTCAATCCACCATTTTCTACATTTGAATATGCCTGTACCAAGTCAGGAATATGACAGTTGTTGTCCATTCGTTTGATGTGTTTTATCATTTGATGTTGCCATTTGATTAGGGACTTTCCGTTTTGAATTTTCCTCGGAGTTCAGTATTTTTGTGATTTTACTTTTTTTTCTAAGACATCAACTTCCATAGTTTTAAATTGAAAATAAATTATCAACACTTACAGGTACAATTTTCAAAATCGCTTGCTTGAAGACTTGACATTTGAACATTATTGCGATCCAAACAGTTTACTAATTCTTCTTTCAGTGATCTAGATTTTAGCCAGGACCAAAATGGAAAGTTACAATCGTAGATCACATGAAGATACCTGTTTGAAGATGAATGATAGAAATTAGATGAATTAATAGTTTATTTCAATACTGCTGTTGCTAACATTATCATGACATTTTTAAAAACAATGGAATCAAAATATTAGAGATTAAAAATTCCACAAAAATTATCATATCAACATTATCAGATGCTCTGAAAAGTTACTTGATATTGCTGATTTGGGTGAGACTAATACTGTTTAGTGATAGCAAGATATGTATTTAATCAGTTAATTAGTTAATGCCTTTGTGAAAACATGATTGACCAGGAAACACAATGTGTGGAAACATGAGATGGAATGCTGACAGTCGTTAAAGAAAATCGGCTTATATGTTTTAACCTAATAAAGCGTAATATCTGGGCAAAAACATATTGAATTTCACTAAAATGTGTCTATAAAAATGCGGAGACAGTGTATGGATTGCATGCGTTGCTTGTAGTTTCATTCAAAGAACAATTTGATGAGTTTTAGAACACCTAAAATCAGTGAAATATGAAGTTCATTTTTATATCAAGTCGCTTAAGTAAGATGAGGGAGTTCCATTTCAAATAATATCTGCATATGGATATGTTGAAGGACATATTTTCTTTTCATTTCATGTTCTTGATGTATTTGACTGGAGTATCAACTAAGGATTCAATTATTCTGCACTAAAATGTCATTGTTTTTGCTTATATAAATATAAAAATCAAATAATAGTAAAGGCCATTACATTTCAAGAGATATTTTATTTCAATTGACAATTTCGAATATTCAACTTCGTAAATTTTGTTGAAATTAAATGCCTAAAATGTTGTGGAAATACATGTACCGTTAAATAAATTTGGATTTAGTATATTACAGGTTTTGATACCGGTTTATATACTATAAATATATATATATACATCATTCAATGGGTAAGCAACACAGCGACGGGGAAATAAATTGAAAGAACTCTAGATGTAATCATTGAGTCTTCAACGACAGATACGTGTAATACTATATGAATGTTTATGATCATTCGAAGGACCAGACAATATCTACTCATCATCCAACCTCCGGTTAAAAATGCAGAGGGAGACAAGGATGAAAATCAGCAAAATGGTATACTTACATATATTTGGTATAAGAATCAGCTAACCTTTTTTTTTACCGAAGAAGAACACTTACTTTATAAAATGTGACAGGAGTATCTAAGTACAAATAACATTTTGCACTAGTAAACAAATGTTAGTCTGAAAAGGTAATTTTGATCCGAACTGCTCTTAAATGACTGAACAATAAATGAGTACATCAATAATTTTCAGGCCATTGCAGTAAATTCAGTACTGTTCAGACTATGTACTTGCAGTCAATTAAGATCTGTTCAGTCTATGTTCAGATTGTTCAGTAGTTGATATTTAACTGTACAGATCAACAATATACTGAATGTCTATAAAGCTATTTAACAGTACTGAATGTCTGTAAAGCTACTTAACAGTACTGAAGTGTCTGTAAAGCTACTGCACAGTACTGAATTTTCTGTAAAGCTACTGCACAGTACTGAATTTATCGGAGTGAATTAATCTTAAAAATTATGTTGTTATTTGCATACTATTGTCTTTACTAGCACTGTTCATTGATTTCCAATAAACATTGTAAAGAAAATCGATATCGACATCAAATTCAAATTATGATACAAATACATGTATATATGAACTGCATTTTCCCCAGTAATAACAGACAAGTCCGTCTTATATGTTTTTCATCATTTCTGAAAGTAAGTTTGAAGTATTCAATATAGTGACATAGAGACCGCGCTTTATCGGCTATGTTATTCCCATGTGAATGCATACATCAACGGCAAAAACAGTGAAGGAAGAATATTTGTGTTTAAAACCCAGTAATTGTGTACAAAATTCAATACATAAACATATATAAAACCCTTCTGTTTCATTTTAAATTGTGAATTGAGGTTTGCAATAAAATGGCATTCCTCGACATACCACCATTTTCTCACGTATTTCGACCGATAGCACTGACGCATGACTGAGGGGAACATACATGTATACTGCCTGAATAGTTTGCTCTCAGAATGTCATTCTGCTACTTTAAATCTTTACATATTTTGTTATTTAATGTTAAATGATGTTATTGATTAAAACCTTGTAAGGGAATTGCTAATGCAGTTAATTGTAATCAAAGGCATCGATCATTACTTGGTAATATTTAATACTTCATCAATACACACATAATGTATTTAGTTCTTATTTAGGGGGTAGACCTGGGGTATGATAGACAAACTCTTACACATGTATTGAAAGTCATTTGTGCGTTTTAAAACAGCAGTCATTGAAACAGTGATGAAGCATTTAAGTTTCTTACATTTGGCTGTCAGAATGATGCAGGCAAATCCAGGAAAAAAGTTGAACATCACCAAGCATTAAATTAACATTTACTACATTTTTTAAGCTCATGAAGCAAGAGCTGAAAAGGTAGAAAATTACCATTCATACATGAAATGCTTTAAAAAACACCAATGTACCGAGGAGTTCTCATATGGCAAAATTTGAGGTAATTTGCTTATTTGCATAGCGGCTATATTGCTTTATCATGACGACAGCCATTACAATATGATTATACATGCTCCTAAAATAAAAATGCAAATATGCCAATTCCTAAGTCGAATCAGCAATTTGTCCGCATATAAAGAATTGTACATGTTTTTTCTATCTGTTCGTGTACAATTAAACATTGTCTTCTTTGAATACTTTCCGCCTTTTCAGTTTAAAAAATGGAAGCATAACCGTAGTATATTTCCTATATAAAATAACGAAAAATCGTAAAAAAGCAAGATTCAAAATAGAAATAAGATTACAATAAGATATTGTTCATGATTTGTCCGCATATAGGGAAACACCTTGCATGTTGAATTTTCAGGTTAAATAACTTTTATCTTACCTGCTTTTTGAGAGAAACGAATACAAGAATTAACAAACAAAAAAAAAATATAATGAAATAAAGATAAGCATTTGTGCTTTTCATATTTCGAGACACATGTAAGTAATGATGGCATGTTTGAAATCGTATATATATATATATATATTTATCATATGATTATAGAAAATCATGCTATAATTGTACCCCTTGATAAAACTAATTTGTACATAAATTTATACATTAAATTCAAAAAATTGTCTTAGCCGTGCGATATGACTTTTGTTATCAACTGCTTCCGGTATATATCAACTGCTTTCGGTTTATTTCAACTGCTTCCGATTATTATCGCATGCCTGTCTTTAAATTTATCGCAAAGCATTTTGACGTCATTTTGCAAATTCCGGAAAATAAACCTCAGTGGTACATTTTAGTGAAAAACATAACTTAGAAGAATAAAATAAAAAAACAAATATTAGAAAATAGGAAAATATATTATTAAAAAATGCAAAACAAATAATACAATAGATAAATTTTATAAATCAGACCCCTTATCAGCCCATGGTCAAAATCATCCCTCGAGCCTGTCGGCCCTTGGGCTGATAAGAAGTCTGATATAAAAAATGCCATGTTACAATCTATAACGCAAATTTACAGATCTAACATTGTTGGACTGTTATTTAGACGAATTATATATATATATATATATATATATATATTTACATGCACACGTATAAAAATTGCGGTTTTTATCCAACGCAATCATAGGTTTGAACGTTGTTTTCAATTTAGACTTGTTTATATTTTTTCGTTTGGGCTTGTATTATATTTGCCTTCGGGTTTATATGATCCGTTCATCCTATTTCGACTCTTCAAAATTCAAGAGTCAATCCCAAATTGAGGTAAATTATATGGCCTTTTAAATACCGTTTCGATTCCTAACATCACTGAAGAGACATTACTTGTCGAAATCCGGATATGGTGTACAAATTTTTGCACCTCATGTTTGCGGTATACCATCTTTTCCGCAAGTTTATTGTTTTCTGTTTGGTATTAAATTAATATAATTAAGATCCATTGTGTTACATCTGTGATTCGTTTATTTGGCAATCGCCATGGCAGTCAGCAGGGTTTAAGAACATCCGTTGTTCGACCTGCTAGTCAAATGCGTTTTGTTTAAATATACTTTTTCACTTTTTTGGTCTTTTGGAAAATGTTGTTTGTGCTGTATTTAGACCCCTCTACAAAGAAATTTGTTTTACATGCACACGTATAAAAATTGCGGTTTTTATCCAACGCAATCATAGGTTTGAACGTTGTTTTCAATTTAGACTTGTTTATATATATATATATATATATATATATATATATATAGTCTGTCGATGTGGTAAAAACAAACATTCACATTTTAGATCTTGTTAATCACCACCAGTCTTTGGTGGGGATCCTGTTTTCTATGTTGTGTTTTGTGTATTTTTGTATGTATGTATGTATGTTTGTTTATCTTTTTCTTTTTTAGCCATGGTGTTGTCTGTTTATTTTCGACTTATGAGTTTGAATGTCCCTTTAGTATCTTTCTACTCTCTCTTATTGAACTCAAATATATTTAGTACACAATAATATTTAAGTTTAATCATTAATGATAGTACTGTTACATACTCTGCTTCTAAATAATTTCTAGTTCGTACGTTCGTACGGTCTTTCTGTGCGAATGTTTGTTTGCTAGTATTTTGTTTTGCATAAAGTATGGGTAAAATTTATACATACACAATATTTAGCCATGGGAGATCTTGAAACGACCCTTGTCGTATTGTGGTTACACGATGACATTGCAAATATGTAGAAAAGAAAATGGTAATCTTTTTAATTTATGTTGTGCAAATGTGGTTGGTATTCAATTAATTTCTACTATTTGACATATTTTTCCTACCACTAAACCGATACGGCTCCTTTCCCGTGGACATCACTGTTTGTAGAAATACTTGGGATGTTGGTTAATTAAATCAAATCAATGTGTCTATAAATAGTTTGAAGTTCAAAAATATAAATATTTTCGAAAATAATGACTGTTAAACCAAATGTATATGTTTGTTTTAT